GACTGTATAGAGCTTCTCCATCTTTGGCTGCAAAGAATATAATCAGTCTGATTTCAGTGTTGGCCATCTCGTGATGTCCATGTGTAGAGTCTTCTCTTGTGTTGGTGGAAGAAGGTGTTTGCTATGATCAGTGTGTTCTCTTGGCAAAACTCTTATTAGCCTTTGTCCTGCTTCATTCTGTAATCAAAGGCCAAATTTGCCTGTTACTCCAGGTGTTTCTTGACTTAATACTTTTGCATTCCAGTCCCCTATAATGAAAAGGACATCTTTTTTGGGTGTTAGTTCTAAAAGGTCTTGTAGGTCTTCATAGAACTGTTCAACTTCAGCTTCTTCAGCATTACTGGTCAGGGCATAGACTGGATTACCGTGATAATGAATGGTTTGCCTTGGAAACGAACAGAGGTCATTTTGTCATTTTTGAGATTGCATCTAAGTACTGCATTTCGGACTCTTGTTGACTATGATGGCTACTCCATTTCTTCTGAGGGATTCCTGCCTACCGCAGTAGATAAAATGGTTATCTGAGTTAAATTCACCCATTCCAGTCCATTTTAGGGAAATACTAACTGTGTAAAAATCAAGTTCAGCACAATTGTAAAACTGTTCTTAATTTCTCATAATATTACCAAATTCTTTTTTTTTTTTTTGAAAGAAGACTTAGTTGTTAGTTAAGAACAGATGAATCTTTTTCAAAAAGATTTTCTCAAAAAATGGCCAGGGGAAAAAGGAAGGCTGCATTTTGGTCTTCTTCCTGCTTGTAACTGATCGTGTGATCTTGGGCTTCTCCTTTTCTCTTAAGAAAAATAATAATTTGATCATTTTAAAGACTTTAAAGAAGAAAAAAAGATAAATATTGATTAAGCAAAGTTGATCCTGATGTTTGTCCTGTCTTGCAGGATAACAGTAAATGGATTAATGGCATGGATGAACAAATTATGTCTTGGGCAACTTCCAGACCTGAGGTCAGTAAAGAGGACAATAACTTTAGGGTGGTTCTTAATGAATCTTCTGGTTCTAAATGCTTATGTGTTTATACCTTGATGTCCCCTACAGAGGCTTGTACACACTTAGTACCCAGCAGATGCTTGTTTGAATGAATTAACGAATCAGATTTTGATTTGTTTGTGGTTTTCTAGGACTGGCACCTGGGAGGTAAATGTGATGTCTACTTGTGGGGTGCTGGCAGGCATGGACAGCTGGCAGAAGCTGGAAGAAACGTAATGGTACCTGCAGCAGCTCCCTCATTCTCACAGGCCCAGCAGGTAACTGGGAGGGTAAAGAATTGGAGAACTGACAGTTCTGATTCCCGTGCTTTCAGTAACTTACTTTGGGATGGTTTGTCCACTGCATAATCTGTTGTGAGGGACCCAACAAAGTCATGATATATAGCTTCTAAATAAAGTTTTATAGAGTTTTTATCAGACTTAAGTTTTGTTAATATTCCCAAATTTTTCTTGTTTTCAAGTATAATGAATTAACATTCATGATGCTTTAAGCCTGCCCAGTACGTATTTATAGATGTTAAAATATCACTAATTATCAATTCTCTCTTGGGGGTCACAAGCTTGCTGGGATCTTTAGCCAGATCTCATTGATACCCCTCCCCTCTTCTAATAATCGTGGTACTAAATCTCCAAACTCTTCTTAAGGCTCCTGCTTTCACTTCTGTTCTTCTCTACCTCAGTAAGCCCCAAGATGCACTACTGTTTCTTGCATATATCCCCTCCAGTTTCTGTTTCTTGGTGGCCTCCAGCCAGTCTTTGCTATTTTCCCATCACTGTTTCCTTTTTCTTCTTTTTATCTATCTTCTTCTTAAACTCTGCGCAATTGATTGAAAGGTCTGTAGATAACATGTTTCTAAACTGTCTTAGATCATCAGATGAGCCTCATACATCTTTTAGTTAAGTAAGCAGTTTTATAATAATCAAGGGCTTATAGGAATCCCATAGTTACGTCAAATCTTCCGCTTTAGTGAAAGGATGAAAGAACTGATAAAGGTAGCCTAGGTATATATGGAATCATTTTAAATGTTTGCATGTTAAAGCTATGTAATAGAAAATATTATATTTAATTTTGTGTTTTTATACTAGGTCATATGCGGTCAAAATTGTACCTTTGTCATCCAGGCCAATGGCACGGTATTGGCTTGTGGAGAAGGAAGTTATGGCAGATTAGGACAAGGAAATTCAGATGACCTTCATGTGCTGACAGTCATTTCAGCCTTACAAGGTAAAATTATCCTCAGTTAAAAGCAGATCGGAAACTATGGCCTGTTTGTAGGAATGTTTGCTTATTACATTGCAACTCACCCAAACCTTTGCTAAATAAAGTCATGTAGGGTTTTCACGTATATTTATATTCTGGTTTAGGCATGTACAACCTTAATTTTCCATATTTTAAGTTGTATTATTTTACAAATTGTCATAGCATTGCTAGAATTCAATGATATAACTTGCTGTGTTAATACTCACTGAAGATTGTAAACAAATTCTTTAAGATTGCAAAATTGTAATTTGGTAACTATTACTAGCAGTAGTAGGGCTTCCCAGGTGGCTCAGTAGTGAAGAGTCCACCTGCCAATGCAGGAGACACAGGAGACATGGGTTCCATCCCTGAGTCGGGAAGATCCTCTGAAGGGAGAAATGGCAACCCACTCCAGTATTCTTGCCTGGAAAATTCTATGGATAGAAGAGCCTGGCGGGCTACACTCCGTGGGGTTGCAAAGAGTCGGATACAACTGAGCAACTGAGCACACACACAATAGCAGTAGTAATCAGGCATGTGCTTCATTAACATTAAACACTAGTTTACATAGAAATGTGCATACCTACTAAAGTCTTTAAAAGGGCATCTCCATCAGAGTTCTCTGACTTGGAGACAGAATATCTCTGGGAAAAGCACTGCAGGGGGCCTCTGGCTTGTTTCTTAAGTTAACTTTTACTGACTCTAAAGTCAATAGACAAAGCAAATTGAGTTTTTTAAGTAAATGCATTTAAGTAACATAAGTTCATAATAAATTTTTGAATAGCTCTAAGTTCTCTTCCTTCAGATCTAAGTGTGAAGAGCACAACATTGCGGATGGGAGGGCTTGGTTCCTGTTCTGTTACATCCTGCCTCTGGTGCCTTGCATCAGCTACTAGACCTCTTTGTGACTCAGTTTCCCTAGTTGTACAAGTGGTGATGATAATATCTGCCTCATAGGCTCTGTGGGAAAATAGAAAATGAACAATCCATGTAAAGCACTTATAGGAGTGACTAGAACTTAGTCCTTAGTGACTGGAATTGCTCCTGTCACCCTTCTTCTGTTCCTTATCATGATCATCATTTTATGTTACTGCTCCCAAATTTCTAGGTTATGGCTACAATTTAGATTTATAATTAAAGATATTCTTTTTTATTTTTGTAGTGTGGTATTATTTTATTATGTGAGACTACTTTGTAGCAGCTTCAACTAAAGAGGGAACTTTTACCACCCAGTGACTCTTGTGTTTCTGCTCTGTTGCAGGCTTTGTGGTGACCCAGCTGGTGACTTCCTGTGGTTCTGATGGGCACTCAATGGCCCTGACTGAAAGTGGTGAGGTCTTTAGCTGGGGAGATGGTGATTATGGCAAACTCGGCCATGGGAACAGCGACAGGCAGCGACGGCCCAGGCAGATCGAGGCCTTACAGGGAGAAGAAGTGGTGCAGGTCGGGCAGGATATGGATAAGTTTATCTTTGAATGTAAACATACTGAGTTTAGTTCTCAAGATTAGGTGATGAAAAACAGTAGTAAAAACATATTACCCCATCATAAAAGATCCAGTGTTTTTGGTGGTTCATAGTCATTCTTGATTGTCTCAGGGGTTTAAATAGGTTTTGGTATTAGAATGGACTGTTTTTCCTAAACCAACTGGTTGACCTAGGCCAGGGTGCTCAGGTCTTTGTAAGAGGTGAGGTTTAAGTCCTGTTCCACCGTTCTTGATCTACTGCTAAATGGAAAGCTTTGCTTTCAACCTGTCATTATTATTACAGAGGTTGAGTTCGTATACTTTTTTTCTGGAAAATCAATTAGCGATCTAAAATAGTGTTGTCAAATTGCATAGTACCTTAGAGCTTACAAAAAATTTCCCCATTCATTAACTCATAGTCTAGGTCATATCTGTGCAGCTGAAGAGCAGCAATAGTTCTTCCAAGGTGTGCTGTTTATTCTGGTCTTTCTGAAGATGATGAGTAGATCAGACTTGCAGGAGCAGGAGGGCCACTTGGGTGGATAAGACATACTGGTCTTGAAGATCCTGAGTTGCCAGTGAAGTTTATTTTAAAGATTATTACTGTATTAAAATCCCAAATGACTGATTTTCTTCTTAGTATACCCTCTTATTAACATTTTTGTTCTTGTTGGTTCTGTTTGTAGATGTCTTGTGGCTTCAAACACTCAGCAGTAGTAACATCAGATGGCAAGCTGTTTACCTTTGGGAATGGTGACTATGGTCGTCTGGGTCTGGGAAACACCTCTAACAAAAAACTTCCAGAGAGAGTGACTGCACTGGAGGGATATCAGATTGGACAGGCATGAAATAAGTCAATAACATGTTCTATCTGATCATAGTTTCTTGTTTCCTCTGTGTGCACTTAGATACTGTCCTTTCAGGAAGATTAGAATCACCAGTTGTACTTACCCTGATGTACATTTTGTTTGGCCTAATTGGTAATTGGTTAACAAATGAAAGTCATAATTCAGAATGTGAATATTTCAAACTCCTCTTCATAATATAATTTGATATGAAACCTTTATACAATATAGTAACTCCTATTCAGTATCCTGGAAGTAGATGGCTGAATTGTAGCATATTGGTAGCTGCTGCTCTTAAGTAGTAATTGTCCAGGACCTATACCTGTTGAGACTGTCTCTTTATGAAAAGAGGAGATAAAATATTTTTATCTTCCTCTATCTTTTGTTATTCTTTAGACTGTCTCTGGTGTGAATGAGTATTTTTTCATCATATGTACTTTTTTCCTGTCTGTGTACTGTCTAATCCAGAGTTAGCCGTAGATATTTGAAAGATTTTTCTTTGAAGAAAAGAAAGTTGTCTTTTGTTTGTGAATGTTCAGAATATTTTCTTCATGACAAATTTTGGTTAACATATGTAAAACCCTGAAACCAATAAAAATCTTCTGGAAACAGAGCCAACTTTTTCACTGAAGTAAAGAGAAAGGGTCCCAGAAATGGGTATGTGTTTTAGGTATTGTCATTTGCCTTACTGACCACCCTATTCTTTCTCCAGGTGGCTTGTGGCTTAAACCACACGTTGGCAGTGTCAGCAGATGGCTCTATGGTGTGGGCTTTTGGAGATGGGGACTATGGAAAACTAGGTTTAGGAAATTCCACTGCAAAATCTTCACCTCAGGTCAGTATTGTGTTTAATCTAGGGATGCAGACATCATGGTTTTCTTCTGTCAGTACCTCTTTTTAGTTGGAAGTAATTTACTTCTAACATTTTTGGTAGTTCATAATGAAATATAGAAGCTTCCTTTGCTTACTCTTAAATTTCCATCATTCTAGATCTTATTTTAAATAAGCCATTAATTACTAAACTGGATATAAAAATTCAGCAAGGACAAGCATCTGTGTTTGTCATGGACTGAATAGTGTAGGACTACCTCCCATATAGAGAAGAAATAAGTATAAATATATTCCCAGGATATCTTATGAAGAGAAGCATGAACAATCTTTTGTAACTCTGCTTGTGGCTGCCATTTCAGCTTGTTCTTACCACTGAATTATACAGGTGTGTGCCTTTTTAAAAGTAATAGGAAAACCAAGTGCATAAACAATAATTTAGAATCTTTATTCACATTATAGAAGGTTTTTCGGCTCTTCAGAACTCTTATACAGTCCTTTTTATGTGGATTTTTCTAATATGTTTAACAAGCAGTGTGATTTACAAGTATTCAATTTACGTTCAACTCCATATTTTACTATCATATGTAGTCTGTGACATCTTGATAGCTAGATTGATAAATATTCAGCAGTAGGTACAGAAGGGAAGGAAACCCTCTCTGAAGAACACATAAAGCAGTTATTGTTACCTCTGAAAGCAGAAAAGAATCTGACTGGGAGCAGCCTGTGGCTTCACCTTGTCTTTTAGTGTTCTTTAAACAGCTATTGAGTTCTCTTTGGTTTCTGTTGTGCAGAGTAGTGTTTCCACTTCACATGGGATTTTAGCCAAACATCCCGTACTCCCTGTAGAACTCGCCCAAATTCAGGTAGTCTGCAGAGCAGTATGAGAAAATAACATTTAGGAGTGTGGGTTTGACTGGAAATAGGTGGGTGACTATGAATATTTTTCTGGAAGATAGTCCTTGAGTTTATATATCAGTTCAGTTCAGTCACTCGGTCATGTCCGACTCTTTGCAACCCCATGAATTGCAGCACACCAGGCCTCCCTGTCCATCACCAACTCCCGGAGTTTACTCAAACTCATGTCCAGTTTATACATACCAGTAGGCAAATTTGAGTTTTTTTTTTTTTTCTTTTTAAAGTATGTGCTTTACCCTTTTACTTTGCAGAAAGTTGATGTCCTTTGTGGAATTGGAATAAAAAAGGTTGCTTGTGGAACTCAGTTTTCTGTTGCATTAACCAAAGATGGTCATGTGTATACCTTTGGTCAAGGTAAGGCATTTTCCAGGCACTAATTATATTGCTTATTTTGTGCACACATGTATTACAGAAACATGTTCCCTCCAGCTATATAGAAAATGCTTAAATTGAGTCACTTCTCATTCTGGGTGATGAGTGACCCTCATTCCCCAGCTACTTTTCAGCTCCTCTTTCATGATGTTTGCTGTTAGGACAAACTCTCCTCCTCATTGATCACCCCTTCTACCAGAGCCTCTGTTCTTGCTAGAAGAATTCCTGCCAAAGCCTTCCTTTCCTCATCTCTGCTGCCTTTTTGCCTTGCTACCACAAGCACTGCCTTGACCACCAGAGCTCCTCTGGATCCTGCCTTACTTCCCAGCCCTTGCAGGGACTGGGGGGTTCAGGTCTTAGGAATTCACAGGCATTCAGGATTCAAATGTTAAGTAAATCCAAATACAGGCATCCACAGTGGGATTCCCTGGAAACGTGTTCACTTTTGTAAGTGGAGCTTCCTGGCAAGTTGTAGTGACTGAAGGGTGTTTGAGGCAGATGTGAGGAAGAGGAAGAAGTAAGCTGTGATTGAAGTTTCTAGTCTTAGAAGAATGTTGACACCACTGACAGGACAAGGGGTTGGTTTTGGGGAAAGAGACAAAGAGCTTAGTTTTAGTCATATTGAATTTGGGCCATGTTCTCTAGGATATGTGTATGGAGAAGTCTGGCAAGTTACTGGGGATTTAGGTCTGAAATTCCATAGAGATTGCTTATAGAGATGTTGGTTTGCCTAATGGATAATGGTGTAGTTAAAGCCATATAAATAGGCTCTAAAAAACCCAGGGAGAGAACATGAGATAGAAAAGTAAGAGGATAAAACTCTGAAATGTGAGTAAAGGGCATGTAAGCACAGGAAGGGGACTCAAGAGAGTTGGCTTTGAAAGGAGTGGAGAGAGAGAGAGGTAGCCGGTGAGCCAGGACAGTGCAGTCTCAGGGGCAGGAGGAGCTGAGGCCACATTATCAGAAGGTTAAGTAGAGCTCTGTGGGCTGCAGCTGGAGAAGAGGCCGCTGCAGTAGGCAGTTAGGAGCTATTCATGGCTTTTGAGAGTATTTTCAGTGCAGTGATGAGAATGGAAGTTAGGCTGCAGAAGGTGGTCAAGCCAAACAGTATGTGAAACAGCAGGAACTAGCCTGCACTTTGTAGAAGTTTTGTGGCAAAGATAAGGGGAGAAGTTGGCTGCAAATTTGAGAACAAGAAAGGTTGCATGATGTGTTTTCTTAGGCTGTAAGAACTTTAGAGCCTTTGCGACTTATGTGCAAGTCCTCTCAAGTATGAGGATGCTAGAGGTACCTCTTGGTTTGAAGTAAGCTAATCATTTTAAATTTAACTTCATTATTTTTATGAATAAGGAGATTGTGACATTTTGCAAAGAAGCAGTTTTAAACTTTATCCATTCAGAATACAGTATACCTTACCAGAAAACCAGTTTTTGCCCCAGTGAGATATATATGTCATTTGTCATACCAGCATAGACATTAAATGACTCATTAGAAATTAGAAAAGGACTATGGTGTACCATCCATAAATGTCCTTTTGCCATTTTTTCAGATCGCTTGATAGGCTTGCCAGAAGGGCGTGCTCGCAATCACAATCGACCACAGCAAATCCCTGTCCTGGCTGGAGTGGTCATCGAAGATGTGGCTGTTGGAGCTGAACACACACTTGCTTTGGCTTCAACTGGAGATGTGTATGCCTGGGGGAGCAATTCAGAGGGGCAGGTAAATATTTACTTCACTGCTGCTCTCTCATGTCTAGAAATCTGACAAAATTGTTCATTTGGCAAAGAGATAAGCTAGAAACTCAAAATATCTACACCAGGACTCAAGCCTGTCACTGAGCTCTACATCAGGTTGGAGTCCAGTCGTGCATATCTCTCTTTTGCTTGTGGCCTAGTAAATGTATCATTGTTTAAAGAGAAATCTGGCAATACAGCAAATGTAGTTAAGGGGATTAACTCAATATATGTGTGTGTGTGTACACACTGAGAAGTGCCTGGCACATAGTAAACGGCATTTTATAATTATTTGCTACTGTCATCATTAATCATCATCATTTTCACTACAGTAATAAGAGAGATTACGTACTAGAAGCATCAGTTGATCTGAAAAATGGAAAGAATAAAACAATACTTTTATATTTCATAATATGACAGTGTACAAAGTATATTTGTGTTTGTTCAGGAGGTCTTGTCACTCCCATTATGCAGAGCAATAAACCGAGCCTGTAAGAGATTGACAAAAGACTCAAGAGGTTGATGTGTTCAGCCTATCCTGTATGTGGAGGAGGGATGTACTTTGGTGGAGGACGTCTGAGATGCCTGCTGCTACAGTGGCTTTCAGCTCCACATGCAGAACCACATCCCCTTCCTCTGTAAATCTGCTTTACTTACAGCTGCCTCTAGAACCAGCAGCCCTCAAGTTCAAGGTCCAGTATTATTCATAGTAGCCTCATTTTGGCTCTGTGGTCTCCTCATCATTATATTAACAGGTGGGGAAGCTGGTCATCACTCTGGTTGCACATTGTCGTAATGAGAAGAGAGTTGATGTGGGGACACCTTTGGAATGTCCCTGATGGACCTTGACATTATCCTGCCTGGTGATGTTGAGGTGCTCAACCACCAAAACACTGTTTGTCCTAGTCAGGCCCTAAGAACAGAGATCTGGAGATGAGAATTTTATTCTGTGTGTATTTTTATAATTGTTTATTTACTGTTACACAGGCAATCTATGTTAAAAATCAAGAAATCAGTGTGTTTTAAGTAAAACCTCTAGGGATCATTCTGTTATATATGTATTTTTTAACTTTCCAAGAATTTATTTCCTGTCTAGAAGTGAAGATGTTTTCAGTCATTGAGACTCCTCTGCTAGATTTGGAATGGCCTTGTTGCATTTTAATTTATAGGAGACAGTATGAGCTATGAGGATCATTCTGATAGAGAAAATCAAAATTAGCTTCATTATTTTGATATTGTTGCTTGATACAGATAGTAACTTATTTATGTCTGCTACCATCCAAAACAAAATTTTATCATCTTGGCTTCCTCTCTTCCTCTTTCTAATTGAATATCTGAGTATTTGTAATTTATTCCCAGCTTGGCTTAGGTCATACCAACCACGTTCGAGAACCAACCCTGGTAACAGTTCTGCAAGGGAAAAATGTTCGGCAGATCTCAGCTGGCCGCTGCCACAGTGCTGCATGGACAGCGCCACCTGTCCCGCCGAGAGCACCAGGTGAGGGAGGAAATAGCTGTGCTCCGGCAACCTCTCTTTCACCCCAGCTGCACTGTCTGCTTGCCAGCTTCACACTGTATCCAGGCACCATTCTGAAGCCATCAGACCTTCCCCCACACAACCAAAGCACTCTTTGTGCTACAGCACTGCAGATACTTTCAAAACAGGCAGCTCTCCTATAGACTTCATTACATAGCAGTCCCTCTCTGCTTCCCAAAAGAAGAAAACATATTACTTAGGCAAGCAAATTTATAATTTTAGAACAGCAGTGAAGTATTTTTTATATGTAAAAGTGATGAATTATAGCTTTCTAAGGCATGCTGTTAATAAAGATGAAAAGCCCTGAGACCACTTGTCAAATTCTCCACCGTAGTCAGTGGTTTGAAACATAATGTTGTCTGTACATTGGCACAGCAGAAAAAAATTGTTACCATTTTGCTCTAGTGATGGGATATTTCTATCTTTTGTGTGTTTTGCTTTTAATTTATTATGAAACCTTATAGATCTACAAAAGATAAAAAGAAAATTAAATGTATATCATTCCCCACAAGTGTAACCATTGCCTTAAGTATGATATTTATCATCTTATGCATTTCTTCATATTTGGGCTACCTCTTTCATAGACCATCAAGTCCTATCTGGTGTCTGAAGCACTAGAATGTCCCTGAAGTGACCCTGTGCCTGAGAGCTGTTTTCTCATTCCTTTTTGGAGTCCCCTACTTCTTAGCCACAGGTCCTTGGGGAAAACTCCCCATACCAATTGTTTTCTCTTAGATACCCTTAGAGAGCAAGGTAGGCCTGCCAAGTAGATTCCAAACAAGAATGTTCTAATAGAATGAGCAGTGCTGCCAGGCCGCTGACAATTTCTCAGGAGCTTCTTCAGCTTCCAGCAGGGTTTCCCTTCCACTTCAGGACAGAGACTAGACAGCATGTTGGCTAAAGGTTCAGACTGAAAAACCACATTGCCCAGGTTGAATCCTCCACTTAGGAGCTGAGTGACCCTGAGGTTTCGTTTCCTTGTCTATAAAATGAGCATAATAATAGCACCTATTGTAAAGAACTGCAGGAGTAAATGAATCAGTTCTTAGGAAGCTCTTAGAACAGTGTCAGGCACATAAAAGTACTGAGTAAATGTTTGTTTAGTCGCTAAGTCATGTGAGTCTTTTCGACCCCATGGACAGAGGGGGTCCATGTTAGCTTTAACTAATAGGAAAATACCTCTGAGAACTGAGCTGTACAAATGTTTATTTGCAGAAAACTCAAATAAGTTGAGTATCTGATTCTTAGAGTTTTGTGCATTTCTGTAAGAGGATACCCATGGATACAGTCCTTGTAGTCTTTGCTTCTACAGAGCTTATTCTTTAGTATAAAACCTCCATGAATCATGTACTCATATCTTTCATTCTGTCATGTTAACTTTCTGTCAGAGCCCTAGTAAGTGTGGGAGGGGGTTCTGCCGAGTTGACCATTTCCATTTTCCAGAACTTGCTCTCTGGTCCTGGTCCACACCTTGTGTTATTATGAAGATGTCAAGAATGAAATGTTATTGAATGTGAAAGAACAAATTTGGGTGTTTTGTTTTGTTTTGTGTGTGTGTGTATGTGTGTGAAGAAACTAAGTCCATAGTTAAATGGGAAAGTAAATTAAAGGAGAAAAAAGTAAGTTTCCATAATGATAAATAAAAAAGATGTTTTACAAACCAACACTAGTGCATCAAAAATTTAAGATGAATTGATGGATAGAGGAATTGATAAATAAGTGATAAAGTATACATAGCAAAATATTAATTATAAGTGGTGGGAATGGGTATTCATTATATACCTGCAACCTCTGTATGTGTTTGAAAATTTTCAAAATGCTAAAAATGAAAACAGTACATTTTCCTTTACAAGTGTGCATCTGTGTTCTGGGCAGGTGTGTCAGTGCCTCTGCAGCTGGGCCTGCCTGATACAGTGCCCCCCCAGTACGGGGCTCTGAGGGAGGTGAGCATTCACACTGCGAGGGCCAGGCTCCGGCTGCTTTACCATTTCTCTGACCTCATGTACTCGTCCTGGAGGCTACTGAACCTCAGCCCCAACAACCAGGTAATGCGCTGGCTTAGGAAGCGGTGCCCGTGCTGTGCTCACCAGGTCCCTGGGCCTTTTTTTCAGCCTTCAGATACTTCCTCCGTGGCTAATGCTTTTACTCTTAGCACCTAGGAGATCTAGAGAAGGCACCAGTTCTGTTCCTCATTTTATTGCTGGATTAAGGATGATCCAGATACAGGTTATCATGTTGTTGGACATAAAATGGTCTTCCTTCAGTGTTTTGGTTTGTCGAAAGTTCAAGGAAGTATGAATGGCTAAGGAAGTATGAATGGCTAAGCATGTATTTTCTACAAACTGTAGTATATTATTTTAAAACTTAAGCACACGCAAGTGTTAATACCTCAGTCAAAGGGGTTATATAAATGAGTGTGAGAAACTTTGGAGACTTCTTGCTGTCCTTACAAATGAACATACCCTGTGGAGGGGCAGTGGGGAGATAAAGTAAATTTGGCTGATTTGATTGTCTTTAATAGAACAGACTAGTAATTTAGAGAGAAAGCAAGCTGGCTATGTTTGTTTGGTTAATGTGTAGGCATGCCTGCCAAAATGTGTATTAGTTTGTAAAACTGTTAGTCAAAAATCCTTTTGGGGGTGGGATGTTCAGAGAGAACAGCATGGAAACAAGTATACTATCAAGGGTGAAGAAGATCACCAGCCCAGGTTGGATGCATGAGACAAGTGCTCAGGGCTGGTGCACTGGGAAGACCCAGAGGGATGGGATGGGGAGGGAGGTGGGAGGGGGGATCGGGATGGGGAACACATGTAAATCCATGGCTGATTCATGTCAATGTATGGCAAAAACCACTACAATATTGTAAAGTAATTAGCCTCCAACTAATAAAAATTAATGGGGGAAAAAATTCTTTTTGGTAACCTAGTCATGGGTGTATGAGAGATTTGAGAAATCATTGTTAGAAGTAGATAATCAACCTGGCAACAGAATACTGTGCAGCGCTAACAGAATGTTAGCATCCTGTTTACAGTTAATGAGAGAAATGTTTATGGTATAAATTGAAGTGAGAAAAACAGAATGGATATAAATAGTGCAATCTTGAAAATGTGCAAAGGAAGGCAACTGGAAGGGAGTGGATGAAAGTGTTAATGGGGCCATCTCCATATGGTAATATTAGGGATGATTTTATTTGTGTGCTTATGTGTAAGCTTGCTTTCTGTTACAGAATAGTACATCTCATTATAATGCTGGAACATGGGGCATTGTGCAGGGACAGCTTCGGCCTTTGTTAGCCCCAAGAGTCTACACCCTCCCAATGGTGCGCTCTATAGGAAAAACCATGGTTCAAGGCAAAAACTATGGACCTCAAATTACTGTAAAGAGGATATCAACCAGGTTAGCACATTATATATGTATTTCATTAACTGACATATTTTGAGATGGACTTACTACTGACTAATCTCTGTGAACCTTAGCTTCCTCATCTGTAAAGTAGAATAGTAATAGTATTTTATTTCAGTACCCAGTGTAATTACAGTGAGCCTAGCACAGTGTTTGGCTGTTGTTAAGCTGGCCTGTTCCTTCACTGATGGGAGAATATCTTCAAGTGACATTTGTGGTGATTTGGGAGTATTATATTTTATTCTCTTTTCTCTTTCTTTTAAAGAGGACGGAAGTGTAAGCCTATCTTTGTTCAAATAGCGAGACAAGTAGTTAAACTGAATGCCTCAGACCTCCGTTTGCCCTCCCGAGCCTGGAAGGTTAAGCTAGTTGGAGAAGGTGCTGATGACGCCGGAGGAGTGTTTGATGACACAATCACAGAGATGTGCCAGGTATATTCATTCAATGTCCCCTGCTGAGTTGTCCACTCAGGTGGTGGGCAGTTTACTGTTTCCAGTGATATGACTGTGGCTTGTTTTTATAAATCTAAGCAAGAATTCATTTGTGATACTTACATAAAGCCATGCTATTAGTAATGTATATGTGAATTATTGCAAGGTTTTGTGAAATGCTTCATGAAGATATGTTTCTGAGTTAGTGCCAGTGCTTGGCCATCTACCAATGACTTACCATCTGTTGTTCTGTATAACAGAGAGAGGAAACAGCAATGACACATATGTACACTTCTGTAACAGAAAAATCCAGGACCACTCATGTGCTCCCATTTATTTTGGTGCTTTTAGAACAAAGAACAACCAGGCTCCAAGGAAATTAGAAAAACAAATCTTAAGAGTTTGAACAAGTCCATATTTTAAAATCTACAGTCACAGTTTTGCTTCCAAATCAGCTCTGATCCTTCCAGCTTTGCCTCATATCAGGATTTTTGTAATAAATCTGTATCTAAAATAATACTTGGCTATCATTTATTAAGTTTATTTGAATGTCACTATACCCTGCTCAGAGACACCCCAGCTCAGGCCCTGGATTGGCTTTTTCATCTTTATTCTGTGTACTGCAGGACATTTTCTCCATGGGGGAGTTCCTAAATTCATTTTAAGTTACAGCCACGAAAATAATTACAGAGACTACTGTTTGTCATATAGCATTATAAATTCCTCAACGTTCTCTTTTCAGCATGATCTTTAATGTTAATTGGTTCATTTTCTTGATATATTTAACTGCATTTCTAAAAAAAATTGTTCATTCTTCTACAGGAACTTGAAACTGGTATTGTGGACCTTCTTATACCATCTCCCAATGCTACCGCAGAAGTGGGTTACAATAGGGACAGGTAAGGGCAGTCAGCAAGTGTTACTGAATGTCTGCAATAATAGTAGTGTACATTTACTATATGCTAGGCACTATTCTAAGTGTTTTACATGGATTATCCCATTGAATCTTCATTATAGCTCTAAGGAGTAGGAACTGTTAACTGTTCTCCTTTCACAGATAGGAAACTGAGGCACTTACATCATGACTTGTTATGATGTAACAAGTCACTTGAAAATGAAACCAGATTTCTTTTGTGTTTCTGAAGGCCCACATGGCCTTCCCTCAGTGAATTAAAATTCATTAAAAACCTTTGAAATGCCATGCAGTCACAGCAGTTAGTATTTGCAATCATTTATTGTTCCTGTGTTTGTCAAATTTTGAATTTTGAATCCTGCTTTGTGGACTTGTAAATGATTTTAGGAAATAGGGCATCTTTGAGCAGGTAGCTTAAGGACTAATAGAACATTCACTCACCCTTTTTATGATTCCTCAAAGTAATTCAAAATACGGTCCCTGTGCCGTCTAGAACAGTAGCAGTAGGCCGTATGTCACTATTGAACACCTGAAATGTGGTTACAGGAGCTGAAGAACTGAATTTTAAATTTTATTTAATTAACTTAAATAGCTGCATGTGGCTAATGACTGCCATATTGGACAGCACAGGTCTAGACTAATGCTTTAGCTGTTTGATAACTTGTTTCTAATAGAAATGAGGACAACTTTGTTTGAAGTATTTCCTTTAATTCTGCAGGTTCCTTTTTAATCCTTCTGCCTGCCTCGATGAACACTTAATGCAGTTTAAGTTCTTGGGAATCTTAATGGGGGTTGCCATTCGCACAAAGAAGCCTCTGGACCTCCACTTGGCCCCTCTGGTGTGGAAGCAGCTGTGCTGTGTCCCACTCACCCTGGAAGACCTGGAAGAGGTAGATCTGCTCTACGTGCAGACTCTCAACAGCATTCTTCACATTGAAGACAGTGGGATTACTGAGGAGAGTTTCCATGAGGTAAATCCTGACTGGTCCATGTTTCTGCTGGTGTTGACGAGAATTTTCCTGTGTAAAACTCAGATATAGCCTTCCCCTTGCTGTCCAGCTGACCCATGCCATATACCATTGCTACACTTAGCAGTTCAACCTAGAAGTTTAAATAGCTGCTAACAGAGTCAGCTCTAGCACTGTTCCTTCCCCTTTAATCCATTCTCTCTGCTTGTTAGAGTGAAGGACAGAGAGAACCCAGGAGGCCTGGGATAACCAGAGTTCATCAAACCTGGTTTGGAGACAGAGAGATTCAACTGCATTTTTAATGGAAACCAGATGAGTCAGCACTCCCTGCTCATCAAGTAGCCCGGCAGTCCCCGACCTTTTTGTTACCCACCAAGGACTGATTTCATAGAAGACAATTTTTCCATGGATGGGGGTAGACGGGGTGATTTGGGGATGATTTAAGCACGTCACATTTATTATGCACTCTGTTTCTATTATTATTACATCAGCTCTACCTCAGATCATCAGGCATTAGATCCTAAAAGTTGGGAACCCCTGAAGTAGCCTAATCAGCTATGTCAGTTGCCTTGTCTTCATCCATAAGATTTCTGATGTTGATGTTTTGCTGTGTTTGTGTGTAACATACTTTTTGTGGTCATTTCTACCATGTAGTAAAAATTCTTTTTTCTTCTATTCATAGATGATTCCTCTTGATTCTTTTGTTGGCCAAAGCGCTGATGGCAAAATGGTTCCTATAATTCCCGGTGGAAATAGTATCCCACTCACGTTTTCTAATAGGAAAGAATATGTGGAGAGGGCCATTGAATATCGACTTCATGAAATGGACCGACAGGTGAGAGGAAACATTTTGAGAAGTTCACATGAGAGGTTTGAGAGGTTTGCTTTTGACTCCAAACAGGAGCTGTCTGGTTTTTACTGAATTTTGATGTATGAGTTCACAGTGTTGATTAATCTATATCTATATTTCAGTCCCTATTCAGAGACTTTTCAGGCCATTTCTCAGGATCTGCCCTTTACTCAAAGCCTTAGGTGAGCCCTGAATTGGCCACTGTTTGGCTTGGAGGCCAAGCCCTTGGCCAGGCCTTCAGAACCTGCCTTCTCACTCACCCTTCCTCAGTCTTATTTGTCTTCATGTCTTACTGCCGCCCAACCCAGTGTCCTGTTCCAGCTCAGTCAGTCAGGGTCCATGTGAATGAATCCCTGAAGACTGGCCTTGTAATCCCATATGAGGGCCTCTTTCCTCCAGGTCTGTAACTGTGCAGATCTTTTTGGTCACCTAGAAGTTCCTCAAGCTATCACATACTTCTGAGTTGTAGACTAAGAGTTAGGCTGCAGAGTTTGGGTCTTCTTTCTTCAAGTAACGTGTGAGACATTGAATGAAGAGTGTATTTTTTATATATAACTTATATATCCTGTTCTGTGTTGATACATAGTAAGCATTTAGTAAATGATGGGAGTATGATAAGTGACCTTAGAAATGAATACTGTGTCCCAGAGTGGTGATTTTGGTTATATAGTCCTTCATAGCCAATTCAGTAATACCTTATTTGCAGAAGACTTTGGGCTTTTCTCAAGAGTTGGATGCTGGCTCTGAGGCTGTGTAGTAATTTGAATATATATATTCTATACTCTTCACTCCTGGTTCCTTCTTCAGCTCTGGCTTTGGGCCAAGTCTAGTCAGAAAACTATACCCCTTAGCTTAGTAAGTGTGGATCCTGTCAGCAATGTTGTTTACACAGTCAGGGCTTAGGATTTGTCTCTAATGCTTAAAGATGCTTATTCCTTATAGACTGGAATAACTGACCAAAAATCCCCTGGTCACTACCAACATGCTAGATGTGGTAGCAGGCCCCCGCATATGCAGTTTTCCCCATAGTTACTCAATGGGGAGATAGAAATTACTATCACCATTTCAGAAATGAATGCATGGAGTCCAGAGAAATGGAGTAATGTGCCCAAGGTAAAGCCAGGATCACAAACCAGGTTTCGCTGTGGCATCCGGGCTCTTGTGCTGCCCTTTCCTGTGAAGGCCAGATCGACCTGTCCTCCAGCAGCTGTGCTCTGCTCTGCCCTGCTTTGTTCCTTTCTTGATAATGAGGCCTTCTTCCTCTTTAACTTCCTCCTTGTCTCTTAGAACCCCGTGTTCTTCCTATAGCTGTCCCAGTTGTTCCCACTCAGGCAGCCATCCATGTACCTCAGCTTGTGTTCTGGCACATTTTGGCTGGGGCATTCCCTTTTCTGTCAGCAGAGACTGTCCTTATTGCCCGTTCATTCCTTAGCCCTGGGCATGACAGCCTCACACAATCATAACTCAGCGGCTTCCCCAAGATGTGGCTTGTCTTCGGGTTCTCTGGTTTGGCAGATGATTCTAAACTGACCAAGAGTGAAGTTATTTATGAAACAAACCTTGAACAGTGGCAGGTCTGCATGTAGAGTATGCTCTACTGTATAACCTTGGAGTAGTTTCGCCAAACAGACTGTGTAGGCAGCCTCTGACGGCACCCCTTCAGCACTCCTCAGCTGATCTGTTCTTTGCACTGTGCTAACAAAAGCTAACTACCCAATCATACAGACTCATTTAAAATAACTGTCATAATCATGTGAGCAGCAATTATTTGCCTTATTTTTTCAGATGAGAAAATTAAAAGACGTGGTGGGACTGGGATTCAGAACCCATCTCCTGATTAAATTCTCGATCCTTTTTACTGCTTTCCTACAAAAGGATGTCTCAGTTTTACTTTCTTCTTTGTACTTTCCTAACTTTTTTTTTAATAATCAGCACAAATGATTTTTATAAAAAGAATATAACTATTTTCAAAAGAAAATATAAATTACAAAGACAGTAGAAACCCTAGACACATCCTCCAAAAGCTGCTTACCCTGGTGAGAAGATGAAGTATTCAACAGAGCAGTTTTAACAGCCTGTGGCCATGTGTGGTTAGGAGTGTGAGTGAGTGGGGTTGGCATTAGAAGGGCCCCCGTGGGCTAAAGTTTTGTGGGGCTGGGAAGGTGGGCCCCTGAACTGACTTGACCTGGGACAGGAAGGAATGTATGAATCCCACAAGCAGGGAGAAACTCTGACAAAGGGTCAGAGGCAAGAAGGTTGGACCGTGTGCAGTCATGCCAGTTCTGAGGGACAAGTAGAGGGCCTGGGAGCAGATGAGCACACCTGAGGTGCCCGAGCGGATTGGGTTCACCATGGGTGCCCAGTCTGCACACAGATGTTGAATGAACAACCTCTCCTGGGAGCAGGTGGCTGCAGTCCGAGAAGGAATGTCCTGGATCGTCCCTGTGCCGCTGTTGTCCCTCCTCACAGCAAAGCAGCTGGAACAGATGGTGTGTGGGATGCCCGAGATCTCCGTAGAAGTCTTGAAGAAAGTGGTACGGTACCGGGAGGTGGATGAGCAGCATCAGCTGGTGCAGTGGTTCTGGCACACACTGGAGGAGTTCTCCAATGAGGAGCGTGTGCTTTTCATGAGGTTTGTGTCTGGAAGATCTCGACTACCAGCCAACACTGCTGATATTTCTCAGAGATTTCAGATCATGAAGGTTGATAGGGTAAGTAAGGTATTTTTTCTTTCTGGTAATGTCTGCCTTTGTTGCTTCCTTGTTGCTTACATGTTGGGCTTCAAGTACGCCTGCCAATTCAGGATTAATGCTTGGAATCTCCAGATTTTTTTTTTTTCTTTTTAATCAAGCAGGAAAGATTTGTTTAGAAACATCTCATAACTTCAATTTTAAAAAAAAAAATGTCCTACATGGATGTAGAAACAACAACAACAACCTTCTCTGAATCTTCCAGTATCTTCCTGAATGAAAGCTAAGCTTGGCAGAAGGGCCATCATTGTTACCTCTGTGTCGTATTTCCTATGCCTTTTCATCATGTGACTTCTGCACTGGGACACGGTCTTGTTTATTTGTTTTCACTAAGATACTAACCATTAATTGGTGCACGTGCTCCAGGAGGAACGTGACGACACGGGAAGCAGCAGTAACATGCTCTGCGGCTACGTGTGTGGTGTGCATCACGGAACAGGCAGTACAGCTTCTCTGCAGCCTCATGAAAGGCCCCTGCTGCAGAGTGCCAGCCCAGCTGCCATTTTGACAGATGGCTCAGGAATAAAAGGGCTTAGAGCCTTAAATGCATGCTGCTGCCAGAGTCATCTTTCTTTCTCAGGCACCCATCTGACCATGTCACTCTTCTTCTTTTACACTGTTCAGGGCCCCCTTGTGTTGATTCCAGGACAAACACTGACCACCTTAGCAGCCTTAATTAAACACCTCCACAGTCTGGCCTTAAACACCTCCTCTGCCCTGCTTTCCGATATCACCTCCTCACACCTAACTATTTCTGGTCATTATGGCTGCTTGCCTTTCTCCTGATAGACCTCACTGTTTTTGGTTAGTTGTTTTGGGGGGCAGGGGGGAGGGTTACTGGCCACGCTGCATGGCTTGCGAGATGTCAGTTCTTCAACGAGGGATTGAACCTGGGCCATGACAGTGAAAGCCCAGGATCCTAACCACTAGGCCACTAGAGAACTTCCAAGACCACCCATCGACGCTGCTTTTAAATGTCCATGCCTTTGTGTAGGCTCTTGCCTCTGCTTTAGAAAGTTCTTTTCCTCTTCCTTTTCCATGTATGCCTGTCAAGCACTTGAGCCCAGTACCAATGTCATCTCCTCCAGGAAGCCCTCCTGTATGCTTTTCCTGTGCCTCCTAACTATTCCTTAGGGCAGACTTAGATCTCCTTATGTCCATCTCCTGGACACTTAGTACATCCCTCAAGCCCAACATTAAGTTAGAGGTGTCTGTGTCCCCTCTTTCTCCTTTTCAACACCCTAAAAGCTGGGCAGTCCTCTGAGCTGAGCCCATAGTGTTTATTCCAGAACTAGCAAGACAAAGAGGACCTCATTACAGGCCTTTCCTTTCTGGTGTTTTTCCAGTAACTACCCCTTGAAAGTTGCTGTAGTCAAAGCTGGTCCTCTCCTGCTGCCTCCTGAGGCTGCCTGCCTGGGCTCCACTCCTAGGCTGGGCTTGCTGGAGAGGCCTCACACAGGAAAGGCTGTGAAAAGAGCCTCCCCATGAATTTTCTACATGACTTGCCAGAAACTAAAAGCTGTGAATCTTATTTTGTTGCTTCAGAGAGGAGGAAATGGTTTGCTTCTATTCAGTTTTGGAAAAAGGCCTTGCCTTATATCTGTTCTGGGCTATCCTGCCATCCCACTAAGTTAATCCACTAAACACCCCTGCCTGGAAAGTTTTAGCCTCAGGAAACTGACCACTGTTGGTCTCTCCTTTGTGACTTTTAAACCATTTCTCCAGTTTCCAGATCAGAGCCACCTGTTGACATTCCCCTTTAGTATCTTTGTGGGTTGTGGTTTTTCTGCATTCGTCACTGGCTCTGGCACAGCTAAGCTTCTGGGCCTTCCATCTCCCACCTCTTAGAAATGCACTCACCTGATGTTGAGTTCCGAAAAGGAGGGCTGGTTTCCAGGAGTTCAGTGAGAAAGAGAGGGCAAGATCTTTTTTTGAAACTTTTTTTTTAATTATAAAAACAATATATATCATTACTATCATTATAGTTTGGAAAACAGTTGTGTTTGCAGGCCAGAACAGTGTTTGCAGGAAGAGACAGGAATCCTGTCCCTCTAGTGGTATCCATTTTCACTTTTGTGTAATTCTTTAGGCATACACATTTTTGCATGACAGTTTGGAACTTTATATAAATTGTATTCATATTCACCTAACAATCTATCCCCAGCACTTTTCTGTCTTGCTACTAAGCATCATAATTATTGTTTTAAATAACTGTATCACCATCAGTTAAAGAGGTGGGATGGGATTTCATTAACTGTTCCTTCCTCATTGGAGTGGTAATGGGATGGCAGGCAAAGGGGTGCAGAAGGCTCACTAGGAGGACAGTGAGGGGAGGAGGAGTGTGGTGACTCCCTCAGAGTTGTTCCTTCCATTTCACTGGCTCTGTTGGTGCATCTCCATAGCAGCTTCAAGTTTGCACCCTCTGGTGAAAGGGAGTGAACTCTTTTGCCCTGTGGCAGGCACCATGTGAAGCATGTTCTCCCAAGTAACCCCACCAGTCAGGGCTCATTCTCATGTCACACGGGAGGGCCTTTGAAGAGTAAGGAGAGGAAAGAAGCGTCTTTACCAAAAGCTAGATGGCCACAGGACACCAGAGCCTGCGCTCTCCCTACCACAGCCAAGCCTCTGATTGCTCTCCAGGTGGCCATGCAGTCAGTGCTATTCACGGAGCCCACCTGCCGGCAGGGAGAAATGCTCTCCTGACTTGGGGGGTGGTGGTTATGAGCAGCACTGCTCCCCACTCCCCACACCCCCATGACACCCTGATGCTGCAGTCACAGCTCTGGGTCTCTCTCTCCACAGCCTTATGACAGTCTGCCTACCTCACAGACCTGCTTCTTCCAGCTGAGACTGCCCCCCTACTCCAGCCAGCTGGTCATGGCTGAGCGCCTGCGCTACGCCATCAACAACTGCCGATCAATCGACATGGACAACTACATGCTCTCACGAAACGTGGACAACGCTGAGGGCTCCGACACTGACTACTGACTACCAAGGGTGCCATCACCCCCCTTTCTTCTCAGTAATGTTCACTTCCAGTTTAATGTTGATACACTTTTATGGTAACTACATAGATGTTTTAGGAACATAAAGCGACGTTATAAACAGTGGCCACATTTAGTTACTCTAAAGGTAACAAAGAAATTAGATGTTTTTATTTTTCTGTGATTGTACAAAAAAAAAGGCAGAGTGCTCTCAGTCAGGTTTTCCCCTCCATACTTTTGGTCACTTTTGATAAGTTTGCATGGAACCATTTTGGTGCATTTTTAGTTGGGAATGGTACATTTTTGTAAACCCGCCCAGTGAACATGGAATTGTACATTGTGTATAATTGTTCATTAGAAAGGACAGTTTTACATGAATATTCATATATTTATTTTGTTTTAATTTGAATTGCCTGTGCAGGGTTCCTTATGCAGAGAAATAAAGCTGATTCAGGAATCAGTGCATGGGCTGCTTTTGTTATTGGAGTTTTGATGAAGAGAAAGTGAGCTTTCATTTTGACAGCTTTTTGATTCATCAGAAACATTCCTTCACACTGGACTTTGCTTGGAAATGACAGAGCAGAGGTCCACATGGGTGTAGCAGCCCCTGACCTGAAAGCTTCTATTCATTGGTTCTGTCATCCTCGGTCTCTCACTGTGTTCCCTCATCACAGGCCCTTGTGTCAGCCACTTGGCCCGTGCTTTTGCACCACCCTGCCGCCGCCTCCAGAGCTGGCTTAAAGTGTGACCCACTCATAGGAGCCTTTCTTAAACAGCCCAGGATACCTGGTACAGGATACAGCTCTACTCAGTTCTGACACCACCACCCCCACCCCACCCCCCGCATACGTGAATGAGTGACCATGTGAATCTGTGAATTAACATGAGAACTAAGGAGTGGCTTTTATGTCCTTGAATGATGGTAGGGAGTTGTGTGGGGGACTGGGGAAAGGATTACACCCTTGGTGTTTAGACGCAGCCCTTGAAGGCCCTGGGCTATATGCTCGTTTGCTCAGGCATGTCAGAATGAGCATGTGGTTCTGGGAGAAAGGGCCATCTGGAGAGCAGCTGTGAAGGCTCTGGGAGTGGGAACAGGGAGCAGGCACAGCCTTCAGGTGGCTTGTCTCTTTCATCCATTAGAAGTTCATGCCCCACTATACTTCCAGTGTACTTCATGGACAAGGTCAAGGCTGACAGCCTGCTCAAATGAGGTGCCAGACAGAGAGCTTTACAAGTACTTGTTTTCCACAAGGTAGGTAAAAGGCATGTGTTCCAAAAAGAAATTGGAAGGAAAATGTGGTTTTGCTTGCCAAGATAATGTGGTGCATGGATATTTCCCAGTGAGTATGCCTAATAATATTTAGGATAATGACATTTTAGTTTTATGGAAAAGAGACTTCAGTTGGAATTGTGTCTCAGAAGGAGACCATAGCTTCCAGGGTCTGGGCCTTTAATACTTGGCCTGAGAGCTCAGTTAGAAGCAGCAGTGAAGGTCTTTGTGCTTGCAGCATCCACTCAGTGAGTGGGAATGCACTGTCAGGGCCTCTAGGTCAACAGGGAACTGCAGAGAAGAGAGGCCTCTGTGCTGTGGAGATCCTGGACCGTACCACAGGGTTCTCTCCAGGCCCTCTGGGCTGGTTCCTGGGAACCACTGGTTCTTCCCTCTTGCTGAGCTGGGCTGAGGGTATGCGAGTTGAAGGCTATGTCTATAGTCTCAGAGACTATTTTAAATCAAAATGAGGCCTTGAGCTTCATGAGGCTCTCGACTCATGGGGAAAGGGCACCCTCAGCAGGCTGACGCTCATGGTTCCAGCTCCCACCTGTCAGGCCTAACAGATGACGTCTCAGGAGCCTTAACTCTGAGGAAGCTTACAGAGACACCTTGGTTTTATAACAGATGCCATTTCTTTGCTGGAAAGTTATCATTTTGCTTCATTCTCTCTACTTTTGGAAGCTGTAGGAGAGGGGAAGGCAGGAGTCCCTGATCTGAGGACCTGAAATGAGCCTAGTGCAACTATTTTTCCCTCCATAGTTCACTTTTAACCCCCATAGAGTTTTAGGTCTTTTTCTTTCCTTGCTGGATTTGTTCAGTTAACAAATCCTTGCAGCTTTTGTCACCCTTAGATGGTCTCAAGAGACTTTTACCCCCAACCTTTAAGATTTCCTCAGAGGCCCTTTCAAGGTGCATCTTTTCTGTGGGCCTCCCAGTTTTGTGGCCTTTGCCCAGCACTGCCAGCCAGATGAAACCAACACTTGATGAGCTCGATTTTTAGCAAAAACCAAGTCTTCGGCATTGAATCCCAGAGTTGAAGGAATGCTAGAACTAAGGCATCAGGTGGTCTCTCCCTTTACAGACCAGGAATTCGAGGTCAGGAGAAGGAGAGTGCTGGATCACAGGTACTTAACAGATGAGAGCTGGGAGTCCTGGTTTCCTGTCAGCACACTGCTGGTGGAGTTGAAGGAGCACAGTCAGTCCCGTGCAGATGCTGAGCCTGTGCCGAAACAGGCCAGTGTGTCCCTTAAGACAAGCCTTGGAAGGCAGCATCCCCCCAGCAGGTTCTGCTTCCTAGGGAGCAATCAGGAGCCCCTGACTTCCGAGCATATGGCCCCAGTCTCTGTTTGCACTGAGGGTCCTGGACCAGCCAGTACAATGTGGTGACTGGGGTCAGCCCCCCACAAGGGAGGCACTGTTCCGCCCCGGTGCTGAGGTTCTGCACCCTCCCCCTAGCTTTCACTTTGGCTGCCTTGGCCAAAACTGAGAGTGAAAAGAGTTAGCGTTCAGTACCTGGGCAAAGCCTGTGGTCTGTTCTAATGGAGGCTCTGAGGGCACAGGTAACCCCCAGGCCATTTCCAGGTGGCTCTGGGTCAGGCTCACATCTCCCCCAGCTCGTCCTTCTCTGGAGATGCACTGGGCTTCCTGTCTTTTCTGAGCTGTGCCTGCTGATATCAACCTGACAGGGACTGGAGTCAGTCCCAGGTCTGGCTTAAAGGGCATGTCTTTCAACATGTGTTGCTGCTTCCCAGTGCCTGGGCCTCGTGGGTTCTGCCAGGCACAGCCCCACCATGGATGTGAGGCTGCATCTCCCTACCCTCCCCCTTCCAGGCACTACATAGTTAGACATAATCTTGTCACAGTGTCACCGAAGTGTACTGGTCCTATTTTACAAATAGAGAAATGGAGGTTCAGAGAAGGATAACTTGTCAAAAGTTACAGATGGCAGGGCTGGGAAAGAACTCAAAACTGCCGCCCAGCCCAGCAGCACGTCTTCTGACTAGACTGAGTAGGGCCTAGCCCAGCCCAGGGCCAGTACCCAGTAAATGATTGTGAGATGAATGAGTTGGTGGGTTAATTAAGCATACAGTGCCCCCTGGTATATGCAAATCTGAGGAAAGACTGTGAAAGCTGTGTTTAGATTAAGAGGGCACTGTGTTCTGTCTACTGCCTTTGCTGTGAACAGTGACTGTTAGAAGGCAGGGTTACTGTGAACAGTGACTGTTAGAAGGCAGGGTGGACAGTCAGTGCCTGCCTTCTGGAAGCATCTCAGATGGGCCTGGGCTCAGGGATCCAAAGCTCCCATGCAGGGGGCAGGGCCTAACTGGAGCCCTAGAAACAATGCTGGACACAAGTGTCAGCACAGCTTCAGTTCTGTGTACTAGTCTTGGTATATGGGGGTTTAGTAGGCATCAAAGGGAACTGAACCCTCATGATAAAAGAGCTTCTGTGGGAAAAGGAGCCTCATGGTTACTTTTCATTCCAGGTTACTGACATTCCAACTGAACTTACAATACTTTTGTTTGCTTTACAAATACAGTCCCATGATTCTGAAAAGAACTTTGCAAAGCAAGATTTTCTCACTGTCCCAATACACGGGTAAGAGCGCTGAGGTCTGGAGAGGGCTGACCTGTGCTTGGTCAGAGGAGTGCTAGAAACCAGGATCCCATTGTTCCCCAGACTAAACCACCAACTCAGGGCAAATGGGACCTCTGGGAACTGGGGCTTATCAGAGATGATGAAAGCAAATCTGTGGGGTTTAAGTGGCTTCATTGTAAACATTTAACTCCCTGGAAGCCTGAACTTGCTTTCAACATTGTTTTCAGTAGTGGCCAAAAAATTAATTTCCTTTAAAAAGCCTTTTTCCAGTGTTCACAGCAATGGTGGATAAACTAGAAAATCACCCAGAGGAAGCCTGCGTAGTGGTGGGCCTCCCATTCCACTGCAGCTGGTGGCTTGGCAAGGCTGGCTTTTTCTACAGGGGGATGAAACAGGATTTTATTTCTGGGCTAAGTGCTGGTCCAACCAGGGGCCCAGGGGCAGCAACTAAGGCTTTCAGCAGTCCCTGGAGGGCTTTAGGCAAGGTGGGATGCTGTCTGCCTGCCCACAGACTCTGCCTAGAAGTTTCAGCACCTCTGGGCCTTCACCATCATCATCTTGGGGCCCTGACGCCTGCTGGGGGTAGCCTGAGTGTGAGGATCTCCAGCTCTCGTTTCATCCTCATAATAACCACTGAGGCCTCCTTTATCCCTCATTTTTCTGATTATCTCTTCTGCTCACCTTGTCTTCTCACCTCACTCTGTTCAGCCGCAACATACCAGCCATGCTCCTAGCCTTTGTGCTGGCGGCTCTTCCCTCTGTGGAATATTTTCCTCCAGATGCTGCACCCCTCCACTTTATTTCTCAGATGCCTTCCTTCTCAAGAGGGCTTACATTTGTCAACCTCTTTTAAGTTGCTTTTCCTTTCCTGGCCCCTGTCAGCAGTCCCAGCAGTCCCCAAATTTCTTTTACCCTATACCTTCACCTCTTCCCCAGTACTTATCCACTGACTGGTACACTGTTTCTTCCCCCACTAGAACATAAGATCCATGAGAACAGAATGTCTTTTTTTCTTCCTTGCTGTTTCCCCAATATCTGGGCAATGAATAAGGAACCCATATGTTTGGTCAGGGCCCTCAAGATAGCTGTTCTCTTGTTCTCTGTAAGTGCCCTGCCTGACTAGTACCTGTTTCACCTAAACCCTACACACACAAGGACTGATCCTCCTAGATCCTTGCCCCAGGCCCCAGCTGATGATTGTTCATATCAAAGGGTCCCTGAGGGGCATGCCCCCATTGGTTTCCTTGGTAACGAATGAGCCCACCTGACATCAATTCCCCTATAATTGGTCGTCTCCCCTCCCGTCTCCCAAGCAAAGAGTGCCACAGTGTCCTTCCTGCTGCACAGAATGGGGTGTCACTCCAGGACTTTGCTTCAGACATGTTAGTTTCCTCCATCCATTAAACCACTGATGTCTGTTACTGACTCTGGGCTCTTTCTCAGAATTAAAGCTGGGCAAGTGTAGGCCTTGTAGGCCTATGGGGTGCAGCCCAACACCAGTGACTAGGCATCAAGAGCCCCTTTCACAAAGAAGAAACACCTGGTCTCAGGTGGGTCAAGGGCCTTGATTTCACCTGGTGATGAGAGTAGCCAGAGTGAGTATCACCCACCACTTCACCATTCTCCCTACCTTCCCCCCTTACCCAAAATTTTCCCGCTGTACCTGGAACCAGGAGGCTGCAGGATGACTGCTGACTGAGAGCCTCTGCTTTGATGGCTGAAGGTGGGACAGCAGTGACTAAAGCTATGAAATTGAACTCAAGGCGTTGGCCCAACGTTCAAATCTAGCAGGTAAAAATTTAACTTTGCATTCGCTTTTAATGGTTTCGTTAACCAAAGATTTAACCAGGGCTGCTGCTTTTGTGTTTGTCTTTACTTTGGGACTGTCAAATTATTTTCTTCGTTTATGATGGATGGGAAAACGGTAGAAAACAAGCATAGCTGCAGTTTATGAAAGAAGCACATCAACGAGAATTTCCTAGAATCGTTCAAAGCGAGTTGGGAGTTGGCACTAGCAAAGGCTCGGTGGAAACCACGGCTCAGGGTTCTACCCCTCCTCCCTCTGGCGCAGCAAGGAGGGGTTGGGGAGAGGGCTGTCCCTTACACACCCCTGGGGAGCTCCGGCTGGCCACACTTCCCCACGGGGGGGTGATATAAGACATCCCCACCACCTCCCCTCCCCGCAGCTGCAGTCTCAGCCGCGAAGGATGAGATAGAGCCCAAGTGGAGAACCCGGTGCGCAGGGGACACAGAAAAGTGTGCTGGTGTTTAACGAGAAACAATCGAGTGTTTTCCAAGCATCCGGCCACCAAATCTCGCACTCAGCCGATGTATAAAATCGTAATATGGGTTAGGCGCTCGTATCCGAGTCTTGGCTGAGGATGTTGTGGCTGTCTAGGAGCTGGCGTTCAACACAAGTAGCTCCCTCCTCCGGAGACCTGGGGCCGGTGTCCTGCCGGCCTAGCGCAGAAGCAACTTGCGGAGGGCGGCGCCGGGCGCGTGCGGGCCGCGCGGGAGCTGGTCCGGGATCATGGCCGCGCTATGCTCGGCGCGCACCGTCAAGCGCGGGCACGCGGCGCGCAGGCGCCTCAGGCCGGCCGCGCTCACGTTGCGGCAGAAGTCCACGTGCAGCGTCTGCAGCGCGCGCCCGTGCGCCGCCACGGCCGTCAGCGTGCGGTTGGTGACGCGCGCGCAGTTCTCCAGGTGCAGCGCGCGCAGGCGCGGGCAGGAAACCAGCAGACGCGCCAGGCAGTCGTCGGTGACGTGGCCGCAGCCAGACAGCGTGACGGTTGCCAGGTTGGGGCACCTGCGGAGAGGAGGATGCGGTTAGCGTGCGGCCGCCCCCGGTCACGCCCCCTGGCTCCCTGGCTGGTTAGTCCCAGTGTCAACTCTGGGAGACCGCATCTTATAGAGGAGTACCGGGCCTAGTTCTTATGGCTTAGCTGGTAAAGAATCCACCTGCAATGAGGGAGATCTTGGTTCGATCCCCTTGGGAAGATCCCCTGGAGAAGGGAAAGACTACCCCCTCCAATATTCTGGCCTGGAGAATTCCATGGACTATATAGTCCATGGGGTTTCAAAGAGTTGGATCCTGTTGAGCCACCTTCACTTTCATCGGACCTAACGAGTTTCACTTTGGGAAGCTGCCCGCTGTGACATGGCCCGGATCTGAACTGGGACCCACTTCCCTTGCTCTTCTGCTACTCCATCTCACCATACTTGGCTGTGAGTGGGCTTTTAGCCCCAGGAGCCCAAACCCCCATCCTGCTGTGCGACGCTGGTTTCTAGGAGGATGAGAAAAGTGGTGCATGGTGACAGCTCAGGTCTAGCTCCAAGCTGAGGCCCTGCTGATCGTGGCAGGACCGTGCAGAGAGGGTTTTCCGTAAAGTGTCTTAGAATCAGGCCCATTCCAACTCTTGGCCATCGGGGCCCCCTCTGAGTATTGGTTCCAAGTTCTAGAGCCCTGGTTTCAGCTGAGTTGACGGAGGCAGTTACTGCAACTCCACTGGGATGCCAGCCTGCCAGAAGTCAAGATCCACAAGTAGCTAGACCCAGGCCTGTTGTGGGTACAGTCAGGGACACAGGTAGCTCGTCCAGAAAGCATGGGGGGAGGGAGGTGTCTCTCTGCACCAACCTTGCCAGCAACTGCTTGGGAAAAAGATCTTGAGTACAGTTGGAGGTGGTTTCTTTGTGCCGTGACCTTGATTGTCATTCATTACCTGGTATGTATGTTTGAGGTTGGCTGGGAGAGGATAATGCCCACCAGTGGGGTTGTCCTGAGGACTAAATGATTAGAAGTGTCTAGAGCCTGTGCAGGGCCTTCTGTAGGCGCTTCTAAGCCATGTTTCCTGGGAGCAGGCAGGACCACACTGCTTCCAGTCAAGAACCTGTCTCATGGGTGCAGGCCTTGGCTTCCTATAGCCAGAGGAAGCTGGAGTCAGGCCACAAAGGGTTTCCCTTTCCCCATCCGCCTCCCTCAATGCCCCTGGGCTGCATCTGACTGAGCCAGCTCAGCTCCATTTGCTTTAGGAAGGAAGGAAGGAACTAAAGTAGACTGGACATGGCTGCATCCACAAACCAAGAACATCCCATCTTTCCAAGTTTGCACATCTTCCTTAGTCTTCATATCTGCCTTCCACCCCCAGTTTCTTGAATGAGGAAACTGGCTCAGGGAGCTCAAGTGATTTGCCTGTGACTTATTTGCTGTCTAACCCAGGACAAATATCTGAACCTTGCTGCACCACCTCTTCATCTGTCAAGTGGGAGAGAAACTGTTACCTTCAGGGTGGTGGTGAGGATTAGGTAGGCATTTAAGCCCCAAGGCTGTTAACATGATTCCTTCCTCTTGAGAACCTTTAGAATAATCCTGAGACAGGAAGAAACCAGCAAAAGAAACCATGGACTCCCTACCAAGCCATCCTCAGCTGTCCCCAGGTGATTGCCAGATCTAGGTTTGGTGCACAGGCATCAATACCTACTGTGTGCTAGTGATACTGTGTCATTTAATCTGAAATTAGCCTGTGAGATAAGGCAGTGTACCCCAGTCCACAGGGGAAGAAATGAAGTTGAGTTAATTTAAATATTTGGGCTGGGGGTCACATGGTCAGACAGTAGCAGTGCTGGGGGACTCAGCCCCAGGCCCTTTGCTTTTTTCTGACACTCGTGCCTGGACAGGTGCAGTCCATACCTTGCTGGTTTGGGGGGTTATACCTGCTTCTAAGAAGAATGGAAGAAATTTAGGGCAGGCTTTTTACCCTGTATGTATCACTTCCCTGTCTATTTACTGGGTCTTGTTAAACCCATCAAAATGGCATGGTCTCATTAGGGACAATCCCAAATCCATCTTCTATTTTCTTCTATGGCCTTAAAAAAAAAAAAGAAAGAAAGGAGGGGCCACTACACTATTTGCTTCTGTTCCTTGTTAGGCTGCCAGAATACAGCAGCTATTAAAACCTGGGTGGCAACAAGCGGACTGAACCTAGTTTGTTAGTGAACGAGGGGATCATTTCCTCAAAGGCAGGACAGGGCTGGTAAAGGCTCAGTGAGAGCCTGGCTGAGGAAGACTGTTCTTTCGTGGACCGCTCTGGGCAGGAGGCTGTGACAGTGAAGGGAGTCTCACCCGTGGCTCAGCCACTATGGGGTCGACAGGTCAAATACAGGATGTATTTAGGACATACTTGTGCCAAAAATTATTCTGTCTATCTGAAGTTCAGATTTATCTGGGCCTCTTGAATCGTTATTTGCTAAAATCTGGGAATCCTAGACTGTGGCACAAATCACAACCTGTCAGACTTTTGGGTTTGCTCATTTGAGAACTTGGGCTAAAGCACTCTTCCCTTCAGTTTACTGATCCTCGCAGTAACTTCAGGTACTCTGAAGATTAGTAAGTTTCTCATAAGGAAACCATTGTCCGCACCCCTGCTGGAGTCTGGATTGGTTCATCTAACCCAGGGCCAAGCAGCCTAACCCTCCTTCAGCTGCACTTCACAGGTCTTGGGGTTTGCTTGCCAGGAGCAGAGTCAAGGGGGCAAGCTGATTGCTGAATCTTGAAAGCTTTTCCTGGGACCTGACACTGCAAATGAAGGCCCAGCTCGACCCACCCAGCCCTTCATGGCTGCCAGGGAGGACAGCTGCCAGAAGCAGAGGGACAGGCTGAAGCCTAGTCCTTCCTCTCTGCTGAAGCAGCTCCAGGACCTGTGAGGCTAAGAGGAGGATTGGCGCCCTTTCCCCCCAGAATTCTCTCCATCCTGTGGAGACTGCGCGGTGGGTGGGCCTGGGGGGTCTGCCTTGGGCCTAGTCTGAGGCTCTCCAAAGCAGAGCCGTCTTGGTCTCGTCATTTGCTCTTCCCAGACCCCCAGGGGCCTCCCAGAGCCCTGGAGGCCAGCGCGGCTCAGGAGGCGGCCTACCTGTCGCACACCCGGAGGAGGAAGTCGTTGACCAGGCTCTCGTGCCGGCTGCAGATGTTCCTCTGGAGGGCGCTCTTGAGCCAGTCCTCGATGCTGCACACCTGCACGCGGCTGGAGTGCCAGCAGATGGAGAGGCTCCTGAGCGCCGGGCTCAGGAGGAAGTTGTCCTTCTTGAGTTCTGTGAGGGAACGAAAGTGCAGCAGGGGCCAGAGTGCAGGGTCCTCAAACACGTCCTGGAGCTGGGGGCAGGTCCTGGCAAGGTTCTTCCTGCTGTCCTTGTCCAGGAAGGAGAAGAGGTGCAGCAGGCACTCGCGATTGAGCTGGGTGATGTGCATGGTCCGCAGTGGCCACACCGATGTGGCTGCAGCCCAGGGACCCGACCTGCCTGCAGCTGCTCCTCCCCAGCTCTGGGCTGGTGGACATATATGGCTGAAGAATGGTGTTTATTTTTGGCCAACAACTGGTGCTGGCGCTCTGAGGAGGAGGGAAGCCCAGACCCAGACATACGTGCGGTAGTCTGTGGCTCGGCTTATGCTTAGAGGAATTGAAAACCCTGGCAGAAAATCAGCATGTTGAAGTTCAGTAGTCTACTTAAAGGGGATTTCTTTCCTTTTAGCTGACAATGGTGTTAGGCAGAGAGCTCTTTTGGCATTTTCATTCGAGGTACTGGCTAGACTACCTTTGTCCGGGCTTGCAATCTCTACTCACTGGGAGGGACTTTAATTGTAAATAGTATCTGGTTTTATTTCCTGGGACATCAGTATGAGTCTTCGGCTCTACTTTCAATAGGAAGAAGCCTGCTGTCTATAAAAAGCTAAAGGTTGTGGTTTTATGCTTGGAGGTGTAAGCAGAAGCCACGGTCGATGCCCCTTTTCTGTGTTATTTTGTTCCATAGTGATGGTTTCCAGCCTAGGCTGAACTACCTTCAAATCCTGCTGCTCCCCTCCAGGCAGAGGGATTTCCCAGTTGTTTTTACCCTGAGCTTTTTCATAAAAGCTTTGTGTTAAGTAGCTTCTGTCTCTCCAGGGTTCTTCTGTGTGTATGTGTGTAAACTCGTTTACTTGGCTTTACATTTTTCCAATTATGTGTCCTGCTGTATCTAATCTATATTTCCCAAAGTGCCAGGATGGATGAAGTAACTCTTAACACAAAACTACTTGAAGCAATTATAAGTTGAAGTGTTTTACTCTTGCCCTGTAAACCAGCCTCACATCCTCCTTGTGAATGTGTGTAATTTAGTTCCTGGCAGTTAAGCTGCCAGGTAAATTGCCTGGAGGTTTTATTCATGAGTTCTCCCTTCCTAACACAAAACTGAGATTCCTTAATTTGTGGGCTCATTTTCTAGTACCGCTTCGCTCCCAGTCCTTCACCAGACCCTGCTGTATTTCCCGTCCTGTGAGCTCCTAGGTCTGTGTCTCCTATGTCTTGCTTGGTTTAGGGGCTGCAGTAGTGAGAACCATTTTCTTCTCTGTTTGACCAGGAAACACCACCTCCGTGGTTATATTGTTCTTTTTCCCACATAATTAGAATGGGAAGGATGGGAATACTGTTTCCACTTGTGTGGATGAAGCACATATGCCAGGACCTTCTTCTGGAACTGAGGCTGGGTCAGACCTGGTGCAGCTTTGCCTGTAAAAGCAGAATGCAGCCCAAGGGAGAAAGCCATTGTGGCCAGCTCCCTTGCTTTGAGGAGCCAGTCTCTGTGGTCCCCTGTGCCTGGGTTACCCCACCACTGCCCGGGTCAAGTGGAAAGCATGACTTTTCTTAAAAACAGCATACATCAAGAAACAGCCAAAAGCAAGATGTATTTCTCAAGGAAAGGGTTACTAAGATATTTCACACTAATCACATCAGTTGTTCAAATGACAGCTGACAGCCAGAGTCCCTCTTTGGGCTCTAGTTAAACTTATTCAAAAGGTACTGCTGCACCACAGGTGGGTTTACTGGAAAGCCTTTAGGATTTCCCTCCTGAATCCTTTCCAAACCAACACTTTTTAGAGGGCTGATCCCTGGAAGTAGTTGGTTCTTTCACCTTCTTAGAGGCAGAGTAGTGTAAGCCTGCCAGCCACAGGGGAGAGTCATTTTGTTCCTTGTGTCCCAAGCTGCACGTCCACAGCTCTGCTTGAGCAGCAAATATGGGCAGAGCCGGGCCACTTCGCTGCTCCTCACATGGGGTAGTAGGAGGCACCCTGGAATATAGGGTGGGTCCACAGGCATGCCTGCTTGCAGGGAGGAATGTGGCTCTCCGCTGGGTGTTCTGACAGCTGTTCCTCCAAGCTCCTCCCTTTCTGCCCCTTGAAGCTCGGCACCTCCACAGCCTCAGACCAGCATGGCTGCCAAAAGGAAATGTGCGATTCGAGAACTGGAGGTAAAACCATTTGGGCTGCAGGCGTCTTTGTCTTCAGTTTTAGAAAACTGATAGAAACAGGCAAATGAGTAACACAGAAAAACAATGGGTGTGGACACAGGGTGGTTCTTATAGGAGCTTACTGTAAAGCAGGTATTTACTCTTTTTAACAGTGGCACTTGTTTCCCTGTTTGATCCTTTGGTCAGAGCCCCAAACCTGGTTCCTCAGGGCAGCCCGGCTCTGACGGAGGCAAGCAGACCTCATTCTTATAAAATCAGTGTCACAAGGAAGGACAGGACGAAGTCACACAGTGCGGGTGAGCTCCCTTGGGACCTGATGCGGCACTGGACGGCCTGGCCTGCCACCAACCCTGCCCTCCAGGTCCTTCTGTCTGGGCCCAAGTGCCCAGCAGCCCCAGGCGGTGAGGGGTTCGTAGAAACCTACTACCTGATGATTCATTCCAAAGGCCCTTGGCTTGAGCAAGTACATCATCACTTAACTTTGCTCCACTGAAAGAGGTTCAGAAATAATAGTCAAAAGGGAAGAGACCAGATCTTTAATGATACTTTCCATAAACAGTTCAGGTTGGTCAAACAGCAAAAGGCTGTGATTACAACTTAAATCAGTCACTTGCACAAGTAATCCTCTCAGCATCATACAGATTAGGTTTCAGTGGAAATGATTACCTCTCACACAACCAACACTTGCAGAGGGCAGTCTGAAGTCCGTCGCAGTCAGACCTGAGGGGGAAGGTCCTCACCCAGCGAGGTGACGCACAGACTACAGCACACCGCCACCCACTCCCACTCCTTCCTGCGCTGTGGGCACCCTCCTGCGGCCACGCTCTGGTCCCCTCTTATCTGTTCCTGGCTGCAGAAACAGACTTTGCTCAGGAGCTTGTCCAGGGCTCACAGGAAGAGGCCACTTCAGCTACAAAGGGAACGTGAGAGAGTTCAGGGGACGGTAGAGGTGGAAATGGGACAAGTGTATCTAAATAGACATATGTACACACACTAAACCAATGAAGGAGAGGTTTGGCTTTTAAGAAATAAATATGTCCCCAACCCTAGAAACCAAGCTGCTGAGTAGGTTCCAGAGGTGAGATACACATTGAACACTTAACCGGGGCCCATACCCTTGACTGGTTTAATTCCATTACATCTGTCATCACTAGACACTGAGTAGAACACAGTGGATAAGCAAAGGTTTTCTCCACCATGGAGAGAGATTTGTGTTGCCACAAACTGTTTCTATCACCCACCTGTGTGGGAGGACTTCTGAGGAAGTTTTGTTCCGAGGAGCCCTGTGACTCAGCGCGAGGCCCTGCCTCAGCACTGCTCTCTGAGTGGGAAGCCACACACGTGCTCGAGACGACACGGCACCAGGGAACAGCCCTGAAGAGCACGAAGGTCAGCTTTCGAAAGAGGCGTGGTAAGGCTGCACAGTTAAATTTTCAAAATACAAATAGGCACATTTACATCATTGGTGTTCTAGTGCACAGTTCACATGGGTCCAGTCGCTTTTCCAGAGAACCTTCATGGTATCCTTCAGGCATGTCTGCTTTAGTAAAATGAAGAGAGAAAAACACTGCAAAGTTCAAGAGAGGAGGTGTGTTCATCTCTTAAGCCAACAGTGTTGCCTGTGTGAGGACCACTTTCCCCAACAAAGCAGTCTAGTCTGTTGTAAGTTCCATTTGGTAGAAAGGCCATTTTCCTCCATCAACACTGCCAGAGGCTTTCTTGTTGGAGTTACAACTGCTGCCCACGCAGAGACTAGTGATCTAAGTGCAAATGTTAGAAGTTCCAGCTGTGTATCTTCTAAGCAAAAGAGACTGGATTCATAGGAGTGAGGTCAGAGGAGATGCACGTTTCTAGTTCAATGTCATGTGATGTTAATGTACTGATACAGTAGATCAAATTATGTGAAACTGTCATTTTTGTAGTTCAAAAAGTTGTGGCTCGGCATATGTAATTTAACACTGTAAACTTTTAAATACATGTTTTCCTCTTAATTTTATCTCCTGGGCGCTCTGTTTCTAAGCTGTAAGATCTACACATGATGGCGAGGCTTTCCTCTCTGGAGTGAAACTGTAGACCAGCGTCGTCTGGGGGAGCGCAGCACAGGCGCAACTGTCCAGCCCTGGGTGGTCCTGGGCCACGAGTGGCTGCTGAGAACGTGAACCATGACCAGTGTGACTGATCAACAACTAACTACATGTGGCCAGTGACCACAGTATTGGACAGTAGACATTCAGACATAATTTGTGCCTAGTTATTCTAAACTGTTTAGCAGGTGTGTTCTGCTCTGAGAAAATGCGGGGTTTTTCCAGCTAATGTTGAAGTGGGGACGGAGCAGCTCTGCTCCTGCAGCTTCAAACAACATCCAGGCCAGGAGGAGGGCCACCCAACTTTCTTTTACATCCATACACTTAAAATCTGGACCTTTTTTTTTTTTTTAAAACAGAAAAAAATAATATGAGAACGTCTGATTGGCTGGCTTAACATAAACTAACTACATTCTGCCCCCCCCGTAACAACCTGTAAAGAATTGGGATGGGAGGAAAATACCGACTGGAACAAGGAGCGAACATGAAAATGTGCATGGCCCTATCCCACAGGCCCAGCTGGCGCTCCCTCCTCCTCTCACTAATTTGTACATTGTGCACCAGCACCCCAAGATCAGCAGGCTGGCTTGAAAACACTTCTGGAAAGCACAGGAAGTGTCATTAGATGGGATTCTGGTTCCAGATTTCAATTTGAATTAAAGCTAAGTAGTGCTGGTGCCTACTTTTCTTGAAAACAATTTTAAAAGACTGCTAACCTAAACAACAAAAACTCTTTATTTATTCAAAGGAAAGTATTTTCAATTGCTCTGCTATGAGGATAGGCCAGTGAGAGCTGTTAAAACTTAAAGACTTTAGTTTCCTCCTGTGAACTAACTCCACAGTGTTGCCCGAAGTTTAGGTGATGGTCAGAATCAACTTTGGAAGGTAGCATCTCAACCTCTGGTGGCCAAGTAAGTAAGACTAGAGTGGACATGCAGTTAATCCCAGTGCTACAACCAATGGGGTAATTAGGTGCTGACTCAAAAAGGCAACCATGACACTACAGTTTCTGCACACTGAATAAATAACACTTGGATAACATGTAGCTGAGTCACAGAACTTTTGAAACACTTTTAAGTGTATTTGGTCTTATTTGGACTGTTCAGTATCCCTATCTCATCTATGAAAGTGCCCCAAAACCGAAAATAAAAAGTAATTATTGAATTTGCAATGTAGGTACAACTGAATCAACCGATTTATTTAGTTAGTGCTGATAAACAGCACCTTTGAGAGATGCCAAGAGCAGCAGTCACCTGGTCTGTTTAATGATGCCCTTCCTGTTCTCTTTTACAAGCAGAAAGAATGATGCTCAGTAGTCACTGAACTCTCGTGAGCCACAAATTTACGTGCACACATGACACTTGGTTTAGAGCCAACCTGATCTCCATTGGATCAGTGAGAAGGCAGCAGGTGGTTACATCGCTCTTCACAATGGGGAACACCTCTCGCTTTCAGCATATGAGAGTAACAAAGCATTGATGTAAATGTGCCTCAAAGTAAAATAAAAAGTAATTATTGAATTTGCAATGTAGGTACAACTGAATCAACCGATTTATTTAGTTAGTGCTGATAAACAGCACCTTTGAGAGATGCCAAGAGCAGCAGTCACCTGGTCTGTTTAATGATGCCCTTCCTGTTCTCTTTTACAAGCAGAAAGAATGATGCTCAGTAGTCACTGAACTCTCATGAGCCACAAATTTACGTGCACACATGACACTTGGTTTAGAGCCAACCTGATCTCCATTGGATCAGTGAGAAGGCAGCAGGTGGTTACATCGCTCTTCACAATGGGGAACACCTCTCGCTTTCAGCATATGAGAGTAACAAAGCATTGATGTAAATGTGCCTCAAAGTGAGAACTGAACATTAATACAAAAAAGTCAAATAGAACTAAGTTCTTGAAACTACATATAAAAACTGAATTATTACAACTAAAGCAGCAAATCAAAATATCTGCTGAGGTTTTCTGGTAGAACTAAAAAAAAAAAAAAAATTAGTTGGTGCCCATGTTCAATAAGTCACTACCATTGACAAAATAAAACTAAACCCAAAATAGGAAACTGAAAAGTGCATAATGAAATTAAATCTCGGATCAAGTATTTATGGAAAATTGGAAATGTCTGTCTGGTATAGTTGACGAATAATGATTTGGACGAGGTATTAAAGTTTGTCCGATCCAGCTTTGGCCTGGCGTTCCACATAAAAAAGGATGTAGGCCTTGGCCTTCACCACGGTGTCTTCCTCAGTCAGAGTTACAGTGCTGTCATTGAAATGGAACCAGCGACCTTCGTGAGTTGCGTATGCTGTGTAATGTCCAGAACCCACCCTGTAAAGAAAGGTCAAATGATCAAAGAAAAAGACTACAGAAGTCACACAAGAATCTGTGCAACCATATAAATTATTAGAAGGGCAATAAATTTTAATTACTGTATGGAATAAATTCTAGAGATCTGTAATTTAAGACAGGTGATTAAGTTCACGTTTACCTTCTTGAAACCCACTGAAACGACAAGGAATATAGTCACACTGGAGAACAGGGAAGAGTGCCATGGACTGACCAGAAACAAGATTTTCTGGAACACAAAGCTGTTTACATGGCACTGGATTAACAGAGAAACTAAACATCAAAGGAGCCTAACAAGCAGAGGTCACGGCCTGTGGAAACAGGGAAAACTTAGGACCAGATTTCCCATCAGTCTTAGAAGAAACCTGAGCACAGGACAGAAATCTGCCTCCAGGGAAGCACTTTCTCTCCTAGTATGACCATCAAAGGCTTTTCTTTCTCAGCATGACCCACCCACTCACACATGGAGCCCCAGACTCAGTCCTCCTGGGTAGGAGAAAGCCTGTAGACAGAACAAAGACCTTCACAAACTGCTAGAAAAACCCTTACAACATTTCATGAGCTGAAGACACTAGACTAAGAGTATCCCTGTCAACTACCAAACAAATACATCTCAAGTAATTTCTTAAGTCCAAAGAAAAAACAAGCAAATGAGAATCAGATGTGTAGTGGACTTATCATTTATAACTATGAATGGTGAAATCAAAAGAGCAATGTCTACAAAGTTCAGAGGGAAGAGGATTTTCAACATGGATAGTTGCTTGACAGGTCTGAAGGTAAAACTAATATCCTCAAGCAGACCAGAAAAAGGAAGGAATATACCCCTAATACAGGTTTTCAAGGGAAAAAAGTAATCAAGAATGTTATATAACAAAATAAGAAATGTACCTTTAAAGTAGAGAACATGAAGTTTATTCTAAATAGTACCTGTTTCCCTCCATTTAAATATCAATTGGCCAAGGAAATCAGCAGTCTTTTGGAGTAATGACTACTCAAAGATTTTGTGGACAACAGACTAGTTGTGAATGCTGGACTCAAATGAACCTTTCTCCATTTTGCTTTCGTGTGCCTTCTCTTCATGCTTTGCAACATATTTCAGGAATACTCTTTCCCACCAAGACTGAAGGAAAGTTCTACCAGTCACTCAGTCGTGTCCAACTCTTTGCAACCCCATGAACTGCAGCACGCCAGGCTTCCCTATCCTTCACTATCTCCTGGAGTTTGCGCAAACTCATGTCCATTAAGTCAGTGATGCCATCTGACCATCTCATCCTCTGTTGCCCCCTTCTCCTCTTGCCCTCAATCTTTCCCAGCATCAGAGTCTTTTCCAGTGAGTCAGTTCTTTGCATCAGGTAGCCAAAGTATTGGGAGTTTCAGCTTCAGCCATCAGTCATTCCAGTGAATATTCAGGGTTTATTTCCTTTAGGATTGACTGCTTTGATTTCCCTGCTGTCCAAGGGACTCCCAAGAGTCTTCTCTAGCACCACAGTTGAAAAGCACCAATTCTTTGGTGCTCAGCCTTATTTATGGTCCAGCTTTCACATCTGTACATGACTACTGGGAAAACCATAGCTTTGACTATACAGACCTTTGTTGGCAAAGCGACGTCTCTGCTTTTAAATACACTGTCTAGGTTAATCACAGCTTTTCTTCCAAGGAGCAAGCATCTTTAAATTTCATTGCTGCAGTCACCATCTACAATGATTCTGGAGCCCAAGAAAATAAAGTCTGTCACTGTTTCCATTTTTTCCCCATCTATCTGCCATAAAGTGATGGGACAGGATGCCATGATCTTCATTTTTTGAATGTTGAGTTTTAAGCCAGCTTTTTCCCTCTCCTCTTTCACCTTCAAGAGGCTCTTTAGTTCCTTTTCATTTTCTGCCATAATCGTGGTATCATTTGCATAGCTAGGTTGTTATTTCTCCAGGCAGTCTTGATTCCAGGCTGAGCTTCATCCAGCCTGGCATTTTGCATGATGTACTCTGCATACAAGTTAAATAAACAGGGTGACAACGTACCAGCTTTGATGTACTCCTTTCCCAATTTTGAACCAGTCAGTTGTTCCATATACAGTTCTAACTATTGCTTCTTGACCTGCATACAGGTTTCTCAGGAGGCAGGTAAGGTGGTCTAGTATTCCCATCTCTTTAAGAATTCTCCGCAGTTTGTTGTGATCCACACAGTCAAAGGCTTTAGTGTAGTCAATGAAGCAGCAGGAGATATTTTTCTGGAATTCTCTTGCTTTCTCTATGATCCAACAGATGTTGTCAATTTGATCTTTGGTTCCCTTGCCTTTTCCAAATCCAGCTTGTACATCTGGATAGTCTTGGTTCACGTATTGTTGAAGCTTAGCTTGAAGGATTTTGAGCATTATCCTACCATGTGAAATGAGCACAATTGTGTGGTAGTTTGTGCATTCTTTGGCATTGCCTTTCTTTGGGATTGTAATGAAAACTAACCTTTTNTCAGTCTTGTTTTTGCTGACTGTTTAGAGCTTCTCTGTCTTCAGCTCCAAATAATATTATCAATCTGACTTCAGGACTGACCATCTGGTGCTGTCTATGTGTAGAGTCTTCTCTTGTGTTGTTGGAAGAGGATGCTTGCTGTGACCAGAACGTTCTCTTGACAAAACTGTTAGCCTTTGTTCTGGTTCATTTTGAACTCCAGAGCCAAACCTGTTACTCCTGGTATTTCTTGACTTTCTACTTTTGCATTCCAGTCCCCCATGATAAAAAGGACATCTTCTTTTGGTGTTAGTTCTAGAAGGTCTTATACGTCTTCGTAGAACCGTTCAACTTCATCTTTTCCAGCATTAGTGGTTGGGACATAGACTTGGATTACTGTGATTTGAATGGTTTGCCTTGGAAACAAACCGAGATCATTCTGTCATTTTTTAGATTCACCCAAGTACTGCATCTTGGACTCTTTTGTTGACTATGAGGGCTATTCCATTTCTTCTGCAGGATTCTTGCCCACAGTAATAGATATAATGGTCCTCTGAATTAAATTTGTCTATTCCTGTCCATTTTAGTGAATGAATCTGAACTGTTGTAGAGGGAGCTGAGACAGAGTTACTGAGAGTGGTACAAAATTGCAGGGCTTTACTGCCCTATTCCCAACCCCAGGAGAGCCTGCTGGCATACTCACCCAGAGCCATGGTGCACCACCACAGCAGCGAGGTCGTACAGGCAGTTCTCTGGGCCACTGTTCTCGGGCTACAGATCAGGGGAGAAGGCATCCCAGGACTGAGTTAGGAGCAGTGGTCAATGACATCAGCATCTCCCTACCTCAATGACCTCCACCCTCTCTCTGTGAAGACTTAATTTTATTAACAAATGTAATTACGTTACCTCTAGTAAGTAGCATTTCATGTCTAGGCCTCGCAGGGGAAATTCTACATATGTATCAACTTTGTTTCTTAAATATGCTGTCCAATGAAATCTTTTCAAATGTAAGCATAGCACCTGGATGAGAGATAAAGACAAAAATTATAAACAAGCACTTAATTTACCTTTCAATCAAAATTAACTACTTGATGGTACTAATGTCTCTTAGATAATATCTTAGGCAGTCTATCAGTTTTTCTTTTGATTCTTTATATTGGTTTTTTCCATGAATACCTTTTTATGGTACTGTGATTTGTAATAATGTGTTTAGTTTTGTCTCCTTTCCTGACACAAGATCCTAAAAGCCTTGAAATTTCCTAAGTGAAGAGAGCCACACAGAGTGATCTTTTGTTATGATAGTGAGGTATGGGGGCTTGTTGCCAAGAGAAACAATCAAGAAACTGAGTTAAAACTTTCAGTCCTACCTCCCTGACCCCCAAGAGGGGAGAGGGAGTGGAGGCTGAACGATCAGCAACGGCCACTGATTTAATCAGTTGTGTCTGTGTAATGAAGCCAAAGCACAAGGTTTGGCACACTTCCAGGTTGGGGAACCAGAGCTCTTCCACGTGCCACCATGCAAGGCCCCAAGCTCCATGAGGACAGAAACTCCTTTGTTCAGGACTTTGCCCTTTGTATCTCTTCATCTGGTTGTTGATTTGTATCCTTTAACATCCTTTGTTGTGAACTGATAATCTGGTGAGCAGACAGGTTTCCTGGGTTCTGTGAGCTGCTATAGCAAATTAATGGAACCCAAGAAGGGACAAGGGTCATGGGGACCTCTGATGTCTACCTAGTCGGTCACAAGTAGGAGTAACAATGGGGACATGTGACTGGTGTCTGAAGTCCAAGGAAGGAGTCGTAGGAACCCTCGATTTGTAGTTGTCCCTTCAGAAGCCTAAGCCCAAAGTAACAGCCTGGGCTTGTGATGGTGTCTGATGTGGAGGGCGATTTTGTGGGACTGAGCCCCTGTACCCTGTGGAATCTGATGCTCTCTCTGAGTCGACAGTGTCAGAATGGAGTTGAATTGTATGTAGGATGCCCATGGTGTCAGAGAACTGCATGTTGGTGGTGTGGTGGGGAAACCCCACCCGTCACGCTCTGTAAATAGTGATGAGGACATATTTACTTATGAATTCATAAAGGACTTAGCTTTACTGAAAACCCTAGAGACAAATGCAGAACAGATTATATAAGTATAAAGTTAGAAAAATAATTTGTCTTCCAACCAATCAAGCATTTCCCCCTCAAAACTGCATTATAATTTGAAATGCAACGCTTACCTTGGGTAGTTTTTGAATCCAAAACTTTTTAGTGGACTTTTGTTTCTTCTTGCACTTGTGGCACATATATAACTCTGTCTCATCAAGTTCTTCTAAGTCAGTAAAACTGCGAAGACAATCTAAAACCAAATTGATTTTGGCAGCATTAAAAGAGGATGCCTTTTATAGAGGAAGTGTACTGTAGGAAAAAAAACACTATGAACTTTGAAAGTGAACAATTTGGGTTCAGATCTCAGCTTTATTAGCTATGTGACCTTGGAAGAGTCAGCTTTTCTCTTGCAAAATGGAGACCCTGAAAAAGTCTACATTGAAGAACTGTTGTGAGAAAGAGAAGTAGCATGTAATAATGCGCCTGGCATCATGTCTAACATCTGGTGATGATCAGTTCATGACAGATGATATTATTGTAGTTGGGTTTACTATAATTAGTAAAAGAATTAATCTGAATAATTCTGACAGAAGTGGTTCCCTAACGAAATCAAGGTTCAAACAGCAGTTTTCTCTTGTCTTATGTAACAAAGGACAGAACCCCAAGTTCATAAAAAAGTCAAATTTAGATCAAATGTTTCACAGTCAGAACGTATTCAAAAATAAACATAGATTACAAAAGGCTGCATCACTGGACCTTCCTTCAATATCTCCAATGAATCCTGTGTTTCACACTCTACTCAAAATCCTGTGAGATGAACCACAGGTATATTTTTTCCTTTCAAAGATTTAACTGTGTGACCTGGGGTTTAGTAAACTTTGGCCCCAAGCCAAATCCAGCCACCTGATTTTGTAAATAAAGCCTGGAATATAATCACACCTACTCATTTATATACTCCCTGGCTGCTTTTACACTACAGCAGCAGACCCGCGCAGCTGTGACACAGACTTTTATTTGCTGAAAAGCCTAAAATAATTACCATCTGGCCCTTTATAGAAAAAGTTTGCTGAATCCTGGGACAATTAGTAATGTATTCAGAAGTCCATATGAAATGAATGCATTGTTCTGTGAGAATTAATATCCTATTATTTTAGAGAAAAATATGAATGCCTTTGTATCCACCACTCTGGTAAGGATATGAACTGTCTAGTACTTGAGGAGCCAGAGTTTATGTGAATGGCATCCCCTAGAGTTGTGGAGAGGGTGGCCAGCCCTGTTCAGAGCTTCCTAGGTGCCTCTTCCCAAGCAGCCCTCCCCGCACCCCAGAAGAACTCACTATCCTGACTTTTGTTCAATCATTTCTTGGCTTGTCATTTCTAGATCATATATAATGCCCTTATGCATCTTTAAACAATATGATGCTTGGTTTGAGAAGTTGGTTGGGTCGCAAGGACAAACAGCATATAAGGAAAGGCAATATTGTACTCGAGAGTCTTCAGGTCATAGTCAACCTAGGCATTAGAGAGTGTAGGAAGAGCCCCTTCAGGGAAGTTGGTGGGGCAAGGTCTAGCAGGGCTTATGAGTGGAGCAGATTCTACACAGACCAACACATGTCCAGAGGCCCCATGTGCTTTTTTTTTTTTAAGCATACTTTTTAAAACCATAACATAACATCAGTTTTGAGTGTATAATATAATGTTTCAGTATTTGTATATATTGTGAAATTATCACAATAAATCTAGTTACCATTAGATTAGTCACCATAAGTTACAAATTTGTTTCTTCTGATGAGAGCTTATAAGATTTATTCTTAGTGACTTCCAAATATGCAATAAAGAATTAACTGTAGTTAGCATGCTATTCATTACATATCCATGACTTACAAGTGCAAAATTGTACTTTTTGACTCCCTTTACCCATTTTACCGACCCCACCCCCGATCCTGGCACCCACCAATCTGTTATCCTTATCTATGAACTTATTTTTGTTTTTTAAATTTCGTTAAGTGAGGTCATATGGCATTTGTTTTTCTCTGACTTACTTTACGTAGCATAGTACCCTCAGGATCCATCCATGTTGTCCCAAATAGCAAGATTTCTTTCTCATGACTGAATTATATTCCACTGTGCGCGTGAGTGAGTATGAGAGTGCATGTTATCACATTTTCTTTACCCATTTGTCCATCACTGGACACTGTATCTTGGCTATTGTAAATGCTGCTGCAATGAACATGAAGGTGCATGTATCTTTTGAAATTAGTGCTTTTGTTTTCTTTGGACAAATACCCAGAAGTGGAATTGCTAGATCATATGGTAGTTCTATTTGTAATTTTTTGAGGAACCTCCATACTGTTTTCTGTATGGCTGCACCAATTTATAATCCCACTGACAATGAGGGTTCCCTTTTCTCCACATCCTCCTCAACATTTGTTGTTGTCTTCTTGATGACTGCCATTTTTATAGGTGTGAGGTGGTATTTCATTGTGGTCTTGATTTTTATTTCCCTGGTCATTAATGATGTTGAGCATCTTTTCATATACCTGTTGGCCCTCTGTATGTCTTTGGGAAAATGTCTACTCAGATCTGCTCATTTCTTATAGCTGACTCCACTTATACGCAGATACTTTTTAGCAGCAAATGCTACAATACTATATGGTCTGTGGTTGGTTGAACCCATAAAGCAGAAGAATTGTGTATATGAAGGGCTGACTATAAATTACACATGAACCAACCTCATTGTTCAAGGGTTGACTATAATCAGGTTTTTTTCTGCTACAGAGTTGTGCAAAATTTTTAAAATATATTTTAGATATTAACTCCTTATTGAATATATGATGCAAATTCAGTAGGTTGCCTTTTCATTTTGTTGATGATTTCCTTTGCTTTACAGAAGCTTTTTATATTAATGTGGTCCCACTTGTTTATTTTTCATTTCGTTGCCTTTGCTTTTGAAGTCAGATCCAAAATATCATCACCAAGACTGATGTCAAGGAATTGACTGCATGTATTTTCTTCCAGGGATTTTAGGGTTCAGGTATTAACATTCAATTCTTCAATCCATTTTGAGTTAACTGGTGTGTAAGTTAGTGGTCCAGTTTCATTATTTTACACGTGGCTGTCCAGTTTTCCAAACACCATTTATTGAAGAGACCATCCTTTCTCCACTGTGTGTTCTTGGCTCTGCTGTCATAAATTAACTGACCCATGTATACATGATTTATTTCTGGGTTCTCTACTGTGTTCCATTGATCTATGTCTGTTTTTGTGTGAATACTATACTGTTTTGATGACTGTAGCTTTGAATTATAGTTTGAAGTCAGGATGCATAATACTTCCAGCTTTTTCTTTCCTCTCAAGAGTGCTTTGGCTATTTGGGGTTGTTTGTGGTTCCATATAAGTCTTAGAATTATTTGCTCTAGTTCTGTGAATGATGCTACTGGTATTTTTACAGGAATTGTATTGAATATATAGATTGCCTTGGGCAGTATGGTCATTTTAACCATTGATTCTTCCTATCTGTGAGCACAGTATATCTTTTCATTTGTTTGTGTCATCTTCACTTTCTTTTATTAATGTCTTATAGTTTTCTAAGTACATGTCTTTTACATCCTTGGTTGGATTTATTTCTAAGTATTTTATTCCATTTGATCCAACTGTAAATGGGACTGCTTTCTTTTTTTAAAAGAGATTTTATTTATATATTTTTGGCTGTGCCAGGTCTTCACTGCCACACATGGACTTTCTCTAGTTGCAGCAAGCAGGGACTACTCTCCAGTTGCAGTGCATGGGCTTCTCATTTGTGGTGGCTTCTCTTGTGGAGCAGGCACTCTAAGGCACACAGGCTTCAGTAGTTTTGGTTCCTGGGCTCCAGGGCATAGGCTTAATAGTTGTGGCCCACAGGTTTAGTTGCTTCGCAGCATGTGGGATCTTCCCAGATCAGGGATGGAAGCCAGGTCTCCTGCATTGGCAGGTGGAGTCTTTACCAGTGAGCCACCAGGGAAGCCCCAGGATTGTTTTCTTAATTTCTCTTTCTGAGAGTTCAATATTAACATATTATGGAATTACAACAGATTTTTGAATATTGATTTTGTATCCTGCAACTTTACTGAATTTGCTTTATTCTAACAGGTTTTTGTTTGTTTTTTTTTTAATGGAGTCTTTGGGATTTTCTATAGATATAACATGTCATCTGCAAACAGTGGCAGTTTTACATCTTCCTTTCTGATCTGAATGCCCTTTCTTTCTTGCCCAACTGCTATGGCTAGGTCTCCCAATACTATATTGAGCAAGAGTGGTGTAAGGAAACATTCTTATCTTGTCCCTCATCTTGGAAGAAGAGATTTCAGTTTTGCACCACTGAGTATGATGTTAGCTGTGGACCTGGCATGTGTGCATGCATGCTATGCCACTCCAGTCATGTCCGACTCTCTGCGACCCTGTGAACTACAGCCCACCAGGCTCCTCTCTCTGTGAGAATTCTCCAGGCAAGAATACTGGAGCGGGTTGCCATGCCTTCCTCCAGGGGATCATCCCAACCCAGGGATCAAACCCACGTCTTCTATCTCCTGCATTGGTAGGAGCATTCTTTTTTTTTTTTTTTGGCAGGGGTGGAGGCACGAAGGTTCTTTACCACTAGTGCCACCTGGGAAAACCAGACCTGATATATATATATGACCTTGATTATGTTGAGGTATATTCGCTCTACACCCACTTTAAGAGTTTTTACCAAAAATGGATGTTCAATTTTCTCAAATTTCTTTTCATCTATAGAAATGATCATATGATTTTTATCCTTCATTTTGTAAATGTGGTGTATCACTTTGATCAACTTTGCAGATGTTGAACCATCTTTGCATCCCTGACATAAATCCTACACGATCATGGTATATGATATTTTCAATGTATTGTTGAATCATGTATCCTAGGATTTTGTGAGGTTTCTGTGTTTTTGTCATCAGGGATATTGGCCTCTTAATGTTCTTTTCTTGTGTCCTTGTGTGATTTTGGTATCAGGTAAAGCTGGCTTTGTAAAATGGGTTTGGAAATGTTCCTTTCTCTTCTGTTTATTGGAAGAGTTTGAGAAGGAGTGTATTCTTCTTTGAATGTTTAGTTGAATTCACCAGTGAAGCTGTCTGATCCTGGATGCTGTTTGTTGGGAGGTTTTATTTACTGATTCAGTTTCCTTACTAGTAATTGGTCTGTTGAGATTTCTGTTTCTTCATAATTCAGTCTTGGTAGGTTTTATGTTTCT